GATATTTTTATATCTTTTTTGTAGAGTGTGAAAAACTCGATCGAACCATGCTAAAATCAATTTCGTTAAGAAACAAAATATTAATATTTTAACATGGCGCACGAACTTTTTCCTCAACCTAATAGTTTCTCAGATCCAACACTCAATATCGAAAGAGAACTATATAAACAATTTTCGTCTCCAGTCGTACGTGTCCGAGTATAAACTGAATCGAATGCTCGAACAGGATATTCAGCTCTTGTTTCTAATCGTACGGAATAGTCTTTATTTTGCATAGATATAAACGGTGATTTTTTAAAAAGATCACTGATTATTCGAACTTGACTCACAAATTGATTAGTCTCGATGATATTATCGAAGTTAAATTCAAGAAGAAAACGATCTAGAATTCTCCTTAAGTCGGAAGCAATAATTTCAAAGTTCTCTCAGGAAGAGTTTTCTTCAATTTTCATTATATCAGATGGTTCATTAACGCTAGGATCTTCTAGTTGTAAAGACATACCTAAGTCAATCTGTTCGTTCTCGTCGACTGTTTCATGAGGATCAGAAGCAAATTTATTATCAACTTCCATTGCATCAGAGGAATCAGTATCTTATTTTGTTTTTAAATTGGGAAAATCTCTCGGTTGGGAAATGCGAAATACTACACAGCTACACATCTGTATCGTCACAGTAAAATCATTTTCGCCATGAGAAATCTATAGAGACCAAAGTCGAGTCCGCTTTTAATACATCATATAGTAGGCCTTACATACTACCTGGAATAACGTTTGAATCAATTTACTATCTCTTACTATGAGAGAAAAACTGAAAAATGAAAATGTAGAAAAATGCGAAAAAACCGAAATCACTTAAACTTTTGTCCTACACTGTACATAGTGTACTTGCACATGTACCTACTTCGATTTAGGCTTCCATCCTCAAGCTGAATTTGTTAATAGAAATAAAAGAATTCAACGGACCTAGTATCACGAAGAAAATTAAGATAATATAGGATTCTATAGATATATGATTGCACACCTCTGCACATTATTTCTCGATAAACAAAACAAAGCCATTGTTACAGTGACCACTAATGCATGGCTCCAGTGTCACCGACACCGACGGTGCCAGTGTACGGTTTACTGAAACTGCGCATCCCTAATCTAGCCATAGTCATGATAACATATCACATCAGACATGATATGGAGAAAAACGGGTCTCCAAAAGTTCATTGTTGAATTGAGTTTATAAACCTACTTAACCAGCCATTCTTACCGTTATTAAAGTTTTCTATTTTATTTTCATTAAATTTCGAATTCCTTCTTTCGAAATATATGAAGCATCTAGCGGTTAACCTGAAATTGATCGAAATGTTAAAATGTCGAAAGCAAAAATATCGAAAATCAAACCATCGAAAACAAAAAAGAGAGTGCAGATAGATGTGTAAGATTGCGGGTGAGGGTGAAGAACAATGCCTTTCTCAAACGAAATCATTCTCAACTTGTTCATCTTTCGATGTTTGTATAATTGGCGTATTCGATATTTTTTATTTTCGATCTTTTTAAATTCGATATTTTTTACTTTCGGCATTATTCAGTAGAATCCATCTAGCTCATAAAATCTTGTTTCTTCGACATACTTCAACGTCATCAGAAATACTGTATAATAAACGCCTCTAACGCATCACCATCAATGATGTAATACTCCAGTAGCGTATGAAGCGAATAATGAAATACTTTGATCCAACTCTTATTTCCTTCCTAATTTCCTAATTATTTCGACATCTATTAGAGTACATTATTCAAGTTCTTCTGCAACTAATCTTGTGAGCGTGTTGCTCCGAGACGAAGAGATGGAGCAGTGACTGAAGAGTAGAAGAGTGATATTTATTGCCAAAAACATCCGACTTAAATATCACAGTGAACAAAGAAAGATGACATGATGTCATGAAAAGATGCCGTCATAAGAATGACCACCATGTGTCGCCATATGTTCACATATGGAAAGAGAACAGAAAACATATGTGAACATATGCGCGAAGAAAATGTGAAGAACGCAAGAGAATGAGATGCATGATGCTAACTAGAGGATGACATATATACGTCATCCTCTAACAAATCTCCTCAGTCGCTTTTCCAAAAAAACTAATTCCAGTCTCAATATAACTTTGAAATTAATTTGAAAATATTTAGATCATCTGTCATCTGATGGTTGATTCTTTAAATAAGAATCAGAATCCGGATTGCAGTTGTTTTATCGTTAAACTCCCTCTCATCTTTGAGCACAGAACTTTTCAGATTCAGGAAATTATAAACACAATTTTGGACGAGTTCGGTAGCGAAACATCGGAACTTGTCAAATATTTCAGAACTTTAAAAAGTTCGGCAGAAAAATTAAGGAACGTTTTATTGTCTACTGAACTTAAAATCGTTTCGTTGAGAAGTACAAAACTTTAAACGTTCAGTAAAGTTCCCATTTTTTTCAGTGTGGTAAAACAACTATAGAACCGATCGACGAAGGAGCTGCAGTTGCAATACCAGTCGTTGGAGGAATGGCAGTACTACTGCCAATACTACCCAAACATGGACCAGCTCGGCAACCTACACCACAATACTCGGCACTAGTGCCACAATAGCCATGTTGTGATAAACACATGCCTGCAGGACAAAAGATAGCTAAGCACGGGCCAGCTCGACAACCTTCACCACAATATTCAGCACTGGTACCACAATAACCGTGTTTTGATAAGCACATGCCTGCAGGACAACTACTAGCTGAGCACGGACCAGCTCGGCAACCTTCACCACAATATTCGACACCGGTACCACAATAGCCATATTTTGATAAACACATGCCTGCAGGACAACTGCTAGCTAAGCATCGACCAGCTTGGCAACCTTCACCACAATATTCGACACCGGTACCACAATAGCCATGTTTTGATAAACACATGTTTTCAGGACAAACTGCGCGAGTTCGTATGCGATGTTCGATAGAGCGAGCATGTACTGATGCAGCAACGACAATGAAGACAAGGTTTAGAAGGATAAGAAAGCGAACCATGTTGATGAATATCAGTTGTGTTCGAATAAAAACCTTTATATTGGATGATGAAAAATTATAAACGAAACCTCCGCATGATTAAAAGTGAAATATGATACAGCTGCTATATCATGCATTTTTGCCAGATTGCTTGAAATACGTAACACATGTGTTCGGTATTTTTAAACTATATCAATGGCAAGATTAAACTTGATACTCTGTAGAAATCAATGGATTTCACTAGTAATATTTTTTAGCCTGTACGGATATCAGCAAGAAACGGTAATTGCCGGTAACACAGAACGTGTGGTAGATCTCAATTGTGCTCAGTTCTGAAAAAATTTCTGACAAGATTTGTGCTTTTTCATCAGAAACTTCCTCAGACATCGCGAAATACAAGAGTCAAAACTGCAAGAAATCAGAAATCTACTTTTGTTGAGAATTTTACATTGACAAGTAGTTTTCTGATTTCTGGATCTCTATAGTCTATTAGGTTTATTTGTTGAAAGATGAAAGTTTTCGAGATAATAGTAAGTAGGGATGCACCAGTACAGGCGGACTGGGTTTTAGCTTCCTATATTAACTTGTACTGTAATGCATATGTCACAGTTAACATGAGAATTTATTTGAGTTTAGAATGCGCGAAAAAAATAGAAAAGACAAAAATAATTAAAAAAAATAGACTCGAATAAAAAAAACAAATATCTATTTTCTTCTCTCTCTACGGCCTCTATATCCCCAAAATGAAGAAATTTATCCATCGAAAAACAGAATCGTCTTTTTTTCTAATTTTTCAACGTCCTGCGTGTCCCGCTGCTCGAATAAATTTCTTTATTCAAAAAGCATTCATCTTTTGTTTCTCTCTAAATTTCAATGTCCCGTATATCCTTGCATTGAAAAAAATCACCGTCAGTGTAATGACAAACTGGTTGAGTAGCTGACCGCTTCTCACGGTATCGATGTTTATTGACTACTCTACATGACCAGAATGTGTCTCTTTCACAATAAGACACGCGCTTATATAGAGAAGAGGAAAGAGAGATATGACCCGGAGATAGTATGATATAGAGGTGAGAGAATAAAGAATAGAAAGAGATGAACGATATCATTATCGTTACACTTGTATAGTTATGTTTCAATGTATCTTCTTTGAATTTAGTCCATTCATAACGATTTTATCTAATGATTCAGTTTTTTCAAATTTTTATCAAATTTTTTTTCCTGGATAATAAGATATAAAATCGTTCCCTGTATAAGAAGACGAGTAGGTGTCATTTTAGTTTGATCTATATTTATCCAGGACAAAAAACAGAATCTTTTTAATAAAGGGATGTTGGCGTCAAATACTAACTGACACGCAGCCATATCTACATCCTCAAGGAATGATGAATCAATCGATGTATCAGCTATGACAAAAATGAAACTGAACGCACCAATATAGACGTGCGCGAAGGTAAGTGAGAAATGCTCATCTGGTTCTCACACAAACTCATTCTCGAGATTTTAAATTAGCATATTCTTGATTGAAAATTTGATACCTTTTTTTAATCCAATAACAATTCTATCATCAGTGAAGATAGATGAAACCGTAGAAAAACAAAAGAAAAATATATTCCTGATGTGCATGCTGTCCGAATAAAAATACCCGGGAGTGTGGGTGTGTTAATTATAGGTATCAATGATTGAATAACATTTACATATGGACCAACACCATCACCACATCCACACCTATATTCTGTTTTCGAATCATTCGTTCACACACTCACACTCAACATAGATAAAAGTAATTTGATAAATGTACGTCAATAATAGATGAAAACGATACTTTACTCACACAATTATTCATCATTATTTATGAATATATCACTGTTAGTATAGAGGATGGAATTGGTAAGTAGGGTGTGGGTGAGGGTGAGGGTGAGTTCAGCTGCCATAACTAGTTTCACCTCAGCTACGAGGATCTACGGATGGCTTACCTATTTCGAATTCAAAGAATCCAAAACAAAGATATTTCTAACATGCTACAGATTTCAAAAAAGAAATTCATAATTCTAGAACCACTATGATAGAGAGTGAGACGAATTACCAGAAAACTAGAAGTTTTTCACCATAGTTCGATATATATTATCAAGTGGCAAGTATTCGTATAGGAAAATCACGAAGAGTTAATACAAAATACTAGAAAAGAAATCTATTCTAAAGAGAATAAATATATGGGGTATGCCGACTGAATCTGTGGTGCCCCTAGGGTGTGGGTGAGAACAGCTACCAAGACAGGTGTTTCGACCCGGCTAAGAGTCTCATCAGTTGGCTTCAATCTCTAGTTCGATTCTAATGACTAGAATCAAGTCGAGATAATGTGGATATGGTGAGTTATACAAATTAGTTACCACGATCTAGATTTCGACCTTTTTCAAGGGTCTTTCATCAGGTGGTTTAGTAATCTGCATATAGAAATTTAACTCAAACAAATCAAAAGATAGAAACCTTTCAATTTACGAAGCATAAATTTCGAAAGCAGCAGATAATCCAATTTATATAGGGTGAGTTATACAGATTAGTTACCACGATCTAGATTTGGTTCATTTTCAGTGCCCCGTTCATCATATCTAGAAGAAGGAAAAGAAATATCTTCGAGTTAAAAGTTTAACTTCTGTGAGAGGATATGTAAGAAAACAAAACGAAACGAATAGTAAAAATGATGAAAAGAAGCGCCGTGTGGAAGACGAGGATATAAGACAATCAGTGTTCATGTTGAAATGTTTTTGTGTACTCAAAAAGTGAGTACACTATAGAATCGGTCAGTATGTCCGGCCGTCCGTCCGGCCGTCCGGCCGTTAATCCGATAACNATGTGTTCGGTATTTTTTTAACTATCTCAATGGCAAGATTAAACTTGATACTCTGTAAAAATCAATGGATTTCATTAGTAATATTTTCTAGCTTGTACGGATATCAGCAAGAAACGGTAATTGTCAGTAACACAGAGAACATGGTAGATCTCAATTGTGCTCAGTTTTGAAAGATTTCTGAGAAGATTTCTGCTTTTTCATCAGAAATTTACTCGAACACTGTGAAATACAAGAATGAAAACTGCAAGAAATCAGAAATCTACTTTTGTTGAAAATTTTATATTGACAAGTAGTTTTCTGATTTCTGGATCTCTATAGTCTATTAGGTTTATTTGTTGAAAGATGAAAGTTTTCGAGATAATAGTAAGTAGGGATGCATCAGTACAGGCGGGCTGGGTTTTAGCTTCCTATACTAACTTGTACTGTAATGCATATGTCACAGTTAACATGAGAATTTATTTGAGTTTAGAATGCGCGAAGAAAATACAAAAGACAAAAATAATTAAAAAAATAGACTTGACTAAAAAAAAACAAATATCTATTTTTTTTCTCTCTCTACGACTTCTATATCCCCAAAATGAAGAAATTTATCCATCGAAAAACAGAATCGTCTTTTTTTCTAATTTTTCAATGTCCTGCGTGTCCCGCTGCTCGAATAAATTTCTTTATTCAAAAAGCATTCATCTTTTGTTTCTCTCTAAATAAAATTTCAATGTCCTGTATATCCTTGCATTGAAAAAAATCAGCGTCAGCATAACCTATGGTAATAAAAAAGGAAATTTTTCTTTATCGTTTTCTATCTTTCATCGAAACAACAGCATATGATCAATCGTAAAAACTGTGCTTTCCTAATTTATGGAATTCTCGGTGATCTTTCGGAATTTCAAAGTATTTTCGTAGACAATGAATGATAGATTCTCTTTTTTCTCTTTGAAACATAAAAAATATATAGATTCCAATCTCAGCTAAATTCTTTAACCAACTGCGACACATGTATGTTCTAATAAGAAGAAAAATTGGTTATCGATTCGTTCGTATCGTATTATAGCTAACCCAAATTTCACTAAATTCAAAGGTAAAAAGCAAATTTGAATGCTTGTTCTTCAACCAAATGAATTCAATTCACTTCTATATCTTCATTTCATGTTTTCATGGAGTATATCAAGATATATTGTTAGAGAAAAAATGAGAAAAGTTATGTAAAACCGGTTACGTAACAAATATCAATTCCCTATTGTAAGTAATTATTAATATCAACTTAAGAGATAACTATTCAAAGATATCTGTTGGTATTATTGATTCAATTTGCCTCACACCTGTATCTGTTTGTTCACCAATAGAGAAATTACAGCGAGTATATGAGACTTCATGTCTATCGTTAGACAGAAGCTAATGAACTACTTCCATTTCATTCATACTAGTTGGTGCGAGTTATATACTAAGCTTCGCATAAAATCTCATCTTTAAAAAATCTTTATATGATCATATATGGACAGTGATGATACAGAACACTTACCTTAGTATGTCAAATTACATTGCTTTGATCTGAACTAGACTATGTATTTCAAAGCTAAAGTGCTCATCGTTCAGTACAAAAATAAGAGCGAATGTTACCTTATGTGATGATGTAGGTAAAATCCAACGTTTTGAGACATAAAATGAACACCAATGAAGCCAGAGATTGGACGTTAAGTACAGTACTTGGTACTTTCCGTACTATGTACTTGGAAATTCTTAGTACTCAGTAAATTTGTGCAGTACAAGTACACGTACTTTTTACTCAGGCTTTGTACTTAATGTACTTGTACTCATCCAATCTCTGAATGAAGTTATCTTATTCAGAAGCTGACGTCGATAAATAGATTCGTAATCGTTGGTATATTACTATCCATTTCACAACAAGTACGCATCTTATAAAAATATTAGAACAATGAACAGAAATGAAATAAAGTTTAGCATGACAAACGATTTTGTACAAAAAACGATGAATAATAATTACAAAAGGAAAAGGTTATACTCGTAGTTTTCAATATTTCAATTCAATGCAAATAAATGACAGTAAGCAAGACGAGGATAACAAGTATATTATTTGGTATTTAAAAGAGATTGATGAAGTGATTTTACCAAGAAGAATGCTCAAATTATAGATTGTCTTTTTTCTTTGAACGTCCAGTTTTCTTTACTCTATATTATCTTTTTTTACTTCGTATAGATCTCTCCCAATCAAACAATATGAAAAAACGTGCATCGAGAAACGTAGCCAGAGTTGTTATCAATGTTACAACGTATGATTCGTCCTCAGAAAACTGGTTGTTCGATCGATCATTATCTGCATCGACTGTCTTACCTAGCACACCAAACAATGACATCAGTACTACCATGGACGGACAATTCATCGCACATGTAATTAATTGTGACAAGATTAATGTATATGTAAGAGAAACTTTATTGATAAATAGTCAATCCATTATGATTGATAGAACTTATTTTATTGAAAAANGGAAGAGATCTTTTAGACAGTGACAAACGAAAGAGAGACTTTGTGAACTGGTTACAACGAGATGGAGTGTTTCTGTTGCGTTTGTTGTATTCACATGCGGGAACAGCAGTTGTGGTTCAATGTGTGGAAGATTTGAAGGAGATCTGGGTGGAAAACTATGAAGATGGAAGGAAATTGAGTGAAAAACTGTTGAAAAATGAATTTGAATTTTCACGTTGAATCGATGATCGTGTAGATATATGTCAATTTGTTCTGTAACATTGTTGTAGGACGAAAGGATTAGTTCAAGGAAATGATTTTGTTTTAATAATAAAGAGAAACGTGATTTTTGCCTTACTCATTCATCTTCAATCAGAGAAAAAAATCAAGGTTCCAAATTTTCCCATCCTCATTATCTAGGCTAAGATCTGACGGAGTGCATGATTTTTTTAACAATAAAGCATAGTATTTTTAGTTCATAGCACAATAAATTTTCTGATGAACAAAATTGGCGTTCTTTTGTGGAAAATCATGGTTTTATCAACAATGGGAAATAAAGCTTAAAATCTTCCGACGAGAGGCAACTTTTTGTTGCGAAGAATGGTTTTATATTGATAAAATTGAGAAATGTTTCATCTCGTGGGAAACTTTTCTGACAAGTTTTCAAGCGTGATAACGAACAGTTTTTGTCGGATTAAGCAATGGCTCGACAAAATGCATACGACCATTGTCATATCAAGGGTTATTAAATGAGTATATCGAACAACTGGTTGTCACTTAATTTTCGTGACTGGCAAATTCGAATAGAAAAGGCATAATTTTGTCAGTACGGGATAACAATGACCAAATTGATGGGAAAATTCCTCTTCGAATTGAACGTGATCAGCGGCGCTTAATTCTTCGACATCGTGGACGGACAATTCGTCGCCGGACAATTCGTCGCGGACAATTCGTCGCAGACTATTCGTCGCACGGACAATTCGTCGCACGGACAATTCGTCGCATAGAAAATTCGTCGCACGGACAATTCGTCGCACATGTAATTAATTGTGACAAGATTAATGTATATGTAAGAGAAACTTTATTGATAAATAGTCAATCCATTATGATTGATAGAACTTATTTTATTGAAAAAAAAGAAAACTTTACAGGTAAAAAGAAAACAAATCTGTCTATATTGATACATTTGCAGCGATGTTCTTCAAGTATTCGCTGAGATTGACGTTGCCATAATCAGCGACCAAGCGTGTAATTCGATCGTCGAGTTTCCGATACGCTGCTTTTTTTGGTTTTGGTTCGTGGCCTTGGCTTATTTGAGCAATATCGATTTCGAATTTTGATTGTTCAACTCGGATCTTTTCGGTTAACTTGAAAATCGTTGGATGAGCGATTGAAACCCGTTGTGCGAACGCATTGTGCCAACCTTCAATAGAATTATTAGAACGTGGAAGATTAGAAATTACTCGATCGTGGACATTCCAAAGCTGAATTGAAAATTGTGGTTTCGTGCGGCCAGTACCTATAAAATTTGATTTGGAATTAATTTTTTATTTTGCTGAATGATCTCACCTCTTCTTTTTCGCTCTCCAATCCAGGTTTTTTCGAAGTATTGAATGAATTCGTCGCTATCGTCGTCGGTAAAGTCGTCGCTCACGAATTCGAATGCTTTGACAACATCTACAATGGGCACAAAAGCTAAAGCAATAAGTTTTTTAATATTTAAATGGAACGACTTATCCTCCTGGTATTTGTTCTGTAATCCGTGGCTTTGAATGTTTCGCCAAACGCACTGACCAAAGTGAAATAAGCAGCCTAAATGAGAGCATACGTGACAAATTCATTTTCTTTAATTAGCATTATTCTTACCTTTGTGAACAACATTCGGAAATATGGAATTAATTGATTTTATCGTACCGGATTCGAAGTCAGTCAATATTGAATCTGGATTGAAATCATCCTCTTCCATTATACGTTCAAAAAACTGGTTATAGTCAGATGTACTCTTTCCTATGAGCAGCCCATAAACCAATGGAATAACTTGTGATTTAAATAATCCATGTAATGTAAACATTTGATAGAAATCGTCCGGACAAACCTAGAAGACTCGATTTTGGAAATTAAAAACGAATTTATTTTTCTTACTTTGAATGTTCCGTCCGCGAACCAATGCTTACATGTTTTCAATACAGATAGGTTCGAAGTGGTCGTGTAAATAATCAATTTATCGTCTTCGTGAAGAATAAAATTGTCGCCACGGGTTGTTTGTTTTAAATGATCGGGCAATCGATTATCAGGGCTTGCTTTCGGTGTTTGACGTTGTCGACGGATTGTTTTTTGTAGAGTGTCAGTTCGTGGTAACTGACCAGCCGCATCTAAAGGAAAAGACTTTAATTCAGAATATAAGATATTACTTGTTGGTTCTTCGCTGATAAGAGCTCGGGACTTGATTTTGTTTTTTAATTCGACGACTGGTAATTGATCGATGATTGGACCATGGCAATGTTCAGTGGGTTCAGAAAGAATGCTGTTCATGCTTGGATCGGTTTGACAACGGCCTAATAAATGATAAAAGTTAATGAATATTTGATTTATTGAATTTACCTTTGCATTGACGGTTTTTGCACCGAAAACTGGTCCTTTCTTCGTTTTGACGTTCGACGGTATAGAGATAACCTTTGTAACCCAACATTGGTTTTTGCTTTTCAGTGAGAAGCTTTTTGATTTCGTTCATTAGTTTTTAGTAAAGGATTGTACGAATAATAGAAGTTAAGTGACATTGCCCTATTTGGGGAAACTTTTATATTAAATCTCTAGATTGATTGATCTTTCTCAATCTTCTAGGATCCTATTAGAAAATTGGATTCGACTTCCAAAGGCTAACACAGTTGGTCAAGAATCAATGTTTATTTCATTAATTGAGAAACAAGTTTACATAAGTCAATTAAAGAAAAACAAGTCAATACATGATTAATTACATGTGCGACGAATTGTCCATGTGCCCAGTACTACTGATGAAAACGTTCGAGAACAATTGCAAACCATTGCTGATCAATCTTTATCACCTGATGTGAATACAAATAAAGAAAGTGTTTCGAAGACGACTGAAAACAATTACAAAAGAAAGGAAGCACTTACAAAACTACATCACAAAAACAAAGCTCCTAAAACTAGTGGCGATTCTATGACAACTTCATCCTCAATTAGCATTGATGAGGTTGAGAAAAATGATAACGACAATCATCCCCAATCGTCAACATCTGTTTGGAAATACGCGACTCGAAGTCATGACAAAAAACACGCTATGTGCCTTGATTGTGATGCACAGATTACTACTAGTAATTGGTCAACGTCAGCGTTACGGCGTCATTTAATTCTCAAGCACAACAGATTAGATATGTGCTTGCAAAATACACCAGGAGCGCAGCAATCATCCAATGTGTCTCGACATCTTAAAGAAAAATGACGTCAATTATGTATCGAGGCAATCATTCGTGATAGTTTACCTTTCAACTGCTTCAGTAAACCTTGTTTATCAAAAGTAATGAAAGAAGCATTTCTTGATGAGTTACATCTTTTATTTTACATTTTCTATCCACTGAAAGCATACAAACAATTCGCTGATACGAACGTTGTTCTGAGAATGCACATCGTACATTTCCTTGAATCTTGATGTCGGATCCTCAATCAACAATTTTCGGTGAAATACATTTCTTCAACTATGAATTACTATACTCTGTTGTATATGGGTTACATATATAAATAAATAATACTTCTTTGCATAAATTCTACGCTCATACCATTACGAACGACGTATTCTGAATATTATAACTCCAATTACATACGCTTGCCTTTTGTCAACAGAATGAGAATCGATACTCAAGCTCAAATAAGTAGAATTCACAACAGGAAACAGTATTAAGTCTAAACAATTAGTTGGAATCGGAGTAACACTCAAAGCTTTGAGTTCACTCAGTCCTATCGCATTTCAGAGAGGCATTGCAAAAAGAATTTCTTGGAGAAAAAAGGTTTTTAATCTATTTCTATATAGAGATACTAATGAGATGAGATCTGGATCAACTTGTCTCACGCGAAATTGACTACTGCTCATGGTGTATAAATACTCAAACAAGGCAACTCTTGTTTTTTTCTGTTTCTTATGTGTTGAGTATGTATTTATCTTCGAATATTGAGCATACTACCGTAACGAAAAATGCTCATTTACACAAAAATAGTTTGTCTGTCTGTTGCAGGGTCAAAAGTCAACATTGACAGAGACTTCACAAATAGGATTCGAAGATCAATGAAACTAATCGATAACTGTGATGGATTGAGAAATTGACCAATCAGGTATCACGCTGTTTAAAGCTGACAAATTGGATAGCTAAAATGAATGAATCAGGGAATCAATCATTTAATATTGGGTTGCTGAGAAAGTTTTTGCGTTTTTTGGAAATGGTCGTAAAATCTTCTAGAAAGTTCTCGAAGCTTTGATACCAAGGATATATATATATCAAGGATGAATGACGTTCGAACGAAAATACCGATATATTTGGGACACAAAGCAACTGAAGCAGCAGATCGAACAAGATCCGCGACTGACGACACGTGCTTTAGCAGGGCTGCTCAAGTGTTCTTATATCACGGTAGAAAAATATTTGGCTGATCTTGGCAAGAGTTGGAAATATGGGTTATGGATTCCACACGAATTATCGTCGTATCGGCTTCAGTCAAGTGTGGACACATGTATGGATTTAATCAACAATGGCTGTATACGCAATCTTGTCACTGGAGATGAGAAGTAAGTGCTCTATGTTAACTATACACGCCGACGGCAATGACTTAACAGTGGTGAAACTGGAGTGGCATGCGAGGAATCATCCATTGGGAACTTCTCCCTAATAGTTACACAATCACAGCTGATCTCTACTATGAACAACTGGATCGTGTTGTCCAAGAACTCAAAGGAAAACGAGCTCGAATGTACTTCCTTCACGACAATGCGAGACCACATGTGGCAAAGTTGACTCGTGAAAAATGATTGCAGCTCGGTTGGATTACCATACTCCACCCACCTTATTTGCCTAACTTGACTCCCACTGACTATCATTTGTTTTGCTCTCTGTCCAACTACTTGAGCGAGAAAAACTTCGACAACGAGAACGACCTAACATCCGCTCTCGCAACTTTTTTCGATCGGAAGTCTCCGGACTTCTATGAGTAGAGGACCCTTTGTCTTTCAGATCTTTGGCGTCAAGTTATAGAAACAGATGGTGCATACATAGATGAGAACTAGTTCTTGTTGATAAAAAAAAAATACAATGACAATCTGAGAAAAAACGCAAAAAAAACTTTCTTCCCAACCCAATACCAAATCGACTGAAAATAGAGGAGTTAAGAGGTTTGATATTCGATGGAGATGTTGAATTGATAACAAGCAAATAAGTTGCTTGAATAGATTCGATATATGTAATATCATACCACTAATGAAGTTTTGAATATAAAAATCCAAGTAATGATTTACAACCTACGTTTACGACTTGAAAAAATGAAGTCAAATGCAGATGTCCATAATATGATGCATTTGTAAATAAAAGATGTATTAGAAAACATTTGAGAGATTCGAATGTACATGAACACACTTGTGAAGCGAATTGAATATCTGAATTAATATTCATATCAAAACTAACGTTCGCACCATTAAAAAATCGACTAGCAGTTAATCCAATCAATGATATGTTTAAAATTATTAGGAGTCGCATTAATAAATGAATCGATTAGTTGTTCAGCAGGGAATAACATATTTCGAATATCTGGCATTGCAATTAAAAGAATACAAAGATCATTTTATTGCATCATATGCTTTGATTTCATTCATTAGTGGATGTATGAAATCACTGAATAGCTCGTGTTTGTCTTTATTATCGATGATGACGTTTATTGTTTATGTTTTTGCCGTCGAAAAATTATAAAAATGAATTTGATAATGTCGTTCGATTTGATTGACTTTGGAAATCTGATGAGTATTGTATAAAAGATGAAAGATATTCAGAGTTCATGTGTGATTGCTGAGGGGAAAGAAGATTTGATTCAAGTTTTGTACATTGAGTCCGAAAGAAAAATAAATATTCGATAAAAGTGTGTGTTGTTATCGCTAAATAAAGAAATAAATAATGATGATATATGAGAAAAATATGCCATTTAAAACAAGCTTACGACGAAAAAAAGAACACAATTTCAAGATAAATGTTTGAAAAAAGTACTTTTTTGTTTTTCTTGTTTTTCGCTTTCAGTTTATCAAGTAATCATTAGTACTTTTTTGAAGCTTCTTTTTTCAAATATTTGACTTTGTTTATAGTTGAAGCTAATCCTCAAATTTGCGATGGATTATTACAATACGACAAATGTTCAACCAATCCATCGTGCCTTTGTCTTCATTCTGTCTCTTCTAATGCAACTGGTATCTGTGCACTTCAAAGTGCCACTTGTTCAGAACTTGTTTCATGTGTATTAAACACTTCTCTGTGTTCTCAACCAAGCCATATTTGTGTTCAACACCCTCAATGCCAAAATCAACCTGTATGTTATCCGTTATCAATGGCAACCAATCAACTCTGTCCACCAGTTGTTGATAAAATATGTTCAACAGCGACATGGTCAAAACATGGAATCACGGTTGCTGGTGGACACGGTTTCGGAAGAGATTTGCACCAACTGGCCGATCCATATGGAATATTTCTCGATGAGAACGATGCGATTTACATTGCCGATCGTTCTAATTTTCGTGTGATTAAATGGGAACAAAATTCCACAATTGGTCAATGGACCGCGGGTCTAAAAGTAGATGGAGATGCTACTCATGACCTTCCATTGAATATGCCACAAGATATCGTTGTGGATAAGAATGGTACAATTTATATTAGTGATGGAGGAAATTATCGAGTTGTTCGATGGTATCGAGGCGCAGATAAAGGTGAAATTCTTGTTGATCGTGTGCAAGTGGTTGGCATCGGACAAGATAATCAAGGATTTGTTTATGTTTCGGAATACGCTGCTGGTCAAATAACCAAATGGAACTTTGATGAGGATGAGTTCGATGGGCAAATTGTTGCAACAAATTTACCCTTATCGACTTTTATTTATATTGATGGAAAACGATCGATTTATTCTGCTGGAATGAGTGCAAATCGAATAGCTAAAGTGGTTGAAGACGCTGATGAGCCAATTCTTGTTGCTGGACCATCAGGTGTTGCAGGTGATGAGTTTGATCAACTTAACAGTCCAACAGGTGTTTATGCAGATGAACAAGAAACAGTTTATATCGCTGATACGAAGAATCATCGAGTAATGCGTTGGTTGAAAGGTGCGACAAGTGGAACATTGATTGCCGGTGGAAACGGTGGAGGTTCATCATCAGATCAATTGAATTACCCTTCTGATGTATTTCTTGATCGAGAGGGAAATCTGTATGTTACTGATACATTAAATAATCGAGTTCAGAAGTTCTTAGTTGATAAAAGCTCTTGTCAAAAGAAAAAATAAATTTCTCTTTTCTGTTAATCGATTATTTTGTAATCCAGAGAATGTGAATTTGCACTGAACGACTCTCTTGGCAAATGTTTTGATCAACTCACTGACTATAATTGCAAAACTATATTTAGGCGTGAGTCAGTAAATCAACATATTGAGGTTAAAAACATTTCCTGTTTTTTTCGTGCAATAGAGATCATATTTATATTTCGATGAAAGGAGATTTTTACAACTATTTCCGACCAATGATAACGAGACGAAAAATGATATTCGAATATTATATCTTATAAGATGAGAAGAATATAGGGTAGATTCACTATTAACGATCAAACAATACGTCTTTGTCTATTTAAAATTTTGTTTTTCAGGTATCGTGTAAGATCACGGTTATAGAAGAATAAATCGATTACAATGATATCTGCACTCATCACAGGGAGGAATTGTATGAATTGAGACACCCAAAAGATTATTTGAGGATCGAAGAGGAGCATTCGAATAGTATAAATAGGTATATAACCCACTAAGAACACCACTGAAATGAAAAACATATGCCGAAGTAGATGAAAATCTCGTGTATGGTGATTTGAATTGACAATAAAAGTCGTCACTGATGGCAAATTGTTTACACGACGAGTCGAAGAACGTACTAATGCGAATATCATTGAATTAAAGATGGCATTGAGAATCGCGGGTAATACAATAAGAATAACAAAAGTGTAAATAGAAATCCAATGTGGGATTGACTTTTGACTTAAACATGCCTATAAAATAGAGATTTTACGTCAAATAATAATCAATTTATATTAACCTGAACGGAGAAAATGAAATTCGGCATTGATAAAATGAACGAGATTATCCATTGTAAAGCAGATGATACAAAAGACCATGCATGACTTTTGAAAAAGCCTTTATGTGGATATTTAATCGCACAAAATCGATTCATCGTAACTACCATCGCAGAATGAATAAGTAAATAAGTGACCAACGCCGCAGGATAAGTTGAAAAAATACACCAAAACATCGTTTGCGCTAAATCAGGCATGAGATAAATTGCTAATAGTGTGTATATTATCCAATAAACTGAACAAATAATAGCTGTTAAACAGAAATTGCCTGTTAAGATATTGTTCGTTGTATGGAAACGTCAAACTAAGATAATCGATACAAGATAAATCAATGGTAATATAATTCCGATTAAAAGACTAAAAATCGTTATAGCGATTATAATATTCATCACTGCAACTTGTTTCTACTTTGTTGTGTAAAGAAGATAAATTATAAATGAAAATGATACACTCAATTTTCCATGTTATCAAATCTGTTTTTATAATCAAGGCTTTGACGAAAACCAATGAAGCAATAATCCTGTGTCTCTTAGGTTATAATTTGTTGCCTTTATGTCATTACACTCTCTATCGTCAACTAATTTCACATGTGATTTATTATTGCTGGGAATGAGAAAGGAAAATGAGTTGACGAAACAAAAAAATTGCAAAACAGCTCAACCATTATTCATTCTTCTTCTGAAAAATGCGAATATGAAACTGTGGACTAGATATCTCTCATTTTCAACATTCACATCCCAAATTGTATTCGATTGTTGTAAAATCAAATCCATGTTGTTGAGATCCTTCTGTTCAGATATATCTTTATTGTTTGTAAGCTCACGTTAAACATGAAATAATGAAAAAAACACCGTGCTTTTCATCCGAATATCTCGATTTTTTTCTTATTCAACACATATCACTATTGTATTATAGACTATGATTTCCATTCCTATGGTTTGGGATATTATCAGCCAATTACATACATCAAGAATTGTAGCGTAAAGAAGACTACGATAGTCTTGCGCATGCCGAAGAAAAGAACCTTTTTTCATAACAATCGTCGAATCACAATTGAGTGAACTGCCCGATAATGTGAATGTTCCTCCTTTTTCAACTGTCAATTCACACCATAAATTGATTCTTTTTTTAGTTTTGTGAAAGATTTTGTTGCACCGCATATTGAATTCATAATTTTTCAAGAACATTTTTTGAACAATCAACCAAAGAGATTTCGATAAGAAATTGTTTATTGAATCAAATAGAGTTTTTCATAAATATCGCTAAAGGATAAATTCAGACAACAAAATTCGGTCGACACACAGATCCAAATTGCATAAAATCTGTAATCGATGAAAGTAATTCAGTTGACATATCTGTCGGGAGGAAAATATCAAATTTAAATGGATCATTGTTCGGATTTCCAACCACTCGACCATTTTGTGTTGGGACCACAACTAAACGTCGACAAAACCATACACGTAACATCATATCAATCTGATTTGATGCTTGAACAATTTCCGTCCGAACAATAACGATGTTTTCATATTGCATACTCAACATTCCATCGAGAAAAAATCCTTCTATTCCAATAATTATATGACCACAATTACGAGATAAAAGTTGTCGAACTGACGACTGCGACATTTTACCTTTGGATTCAATTTGAATATGTTGAACGTATCTAGACCATTGATCACCTTCTAAGCGACTCATGTAACGAATGCCAGTTTCGATTATTCTCTTTATTTGTGATATGCGACGTTTGTACATACAACACGGGAGAAAAACACCAAAAATTGGAAATAGAAAGAAAAAGAATAAACATTTCCACCATAATTTCCGTCGTTCATGCTTTGTAGCCAGTAGGAAAATATCCTTAATAATTTTTTGATCTTCATCAGGTGTTGTACCTCCAATGCTTCCTGTATTTGTCGACCCAAAACTTTTCTGAAGATCACCGACTGTATATGATGGTAATACTGGTAGAGATTCAAGAGGGATTTCATCATTCCTATTTTCCCTGGAAACTGGTTCTTGTTGAATGTCAGTATTGATCTGCTCCATGAATGTTATCAATTCATTGTGAAGGATTTCTCATGATTTTATACGATATATGATAAAAACCTTATCTTTTTGACACATAGTCAATCAATTTTATCATTGGAAATATTAATACTTTGACATCTACTCATAAATCCATTGTGGCTGACTATAAGCACTTGATCAGCGCGTATTTCCGTTGGCATCGACTGCTTTATAACTCGTATTGACCGAATTTTCATTGGATGAAACAGTAACTGAGTTGTGGTACACAATATTCGGTGCTAAAGTTGTACTAGTAGAATAACTGCGAATGGAATCAATAATTTTCGTCCGTGTAGGACTAGTAGCATCCCCCCAAACCATCCCGCATATCTCCGTAATCTTTCTAATTATGTACTTCCTTTACTCATCAGTTGGTTGTAATATTCATAATTATCCGATACGGTTTGACCTTTGCACGAAGACTCATCAACTGATTTTGCTGAACACGAAGATCTGCAGCAACTGTTCTATGGACTCGAGTCTGTCCGCTAATGGCTGTATCTCCTTTTATTCGATTACGGTCAAAATTAATAGCTGTATACCATTTTGAATCAATATCTAACATATGAGTAAAATAAGCGCCCACAGAAAAGCCCATGACAAAAATATAACTAGGATCACCTTCGTACTGCCCGATGTGATTGACTACCCATCCAACTGACACCGCAGTATCTTGAATATAAACTGATCACTTTATTCTTTGCTGTCCATTCAATCGATAATTAATCATAATCATAGATATACCTATTTCTAAAAATTTGAATCCGAAATTATTATGCTCCAATCTGTCCATCGTTCACTTTTATCGTTTGAATTCAATTCTCAACGATGAAAATAAACGATAACTGGAAACGGTGCTGTACCGGTTGATTTTGGTATATAAATACCAAGCTTGTAACGATCCCTTTTGTAAGCCATATTACCATAACGTAATCCAGAAACAGAACATCGACTTCTTGTCTCTTGTGTTAAGATAGAAAAGCTTGATGCAATTCTATGTTTTCATAAGAACAAAGAGATAGAAAACGATCAATTCTCTCTAACTGAAACTCAAGAATCTATGATAGTTAGCTCTTGTGTGTATCTCGATGTGTCCAAGAATAAATTAAAAATTGATGTGCAAAATAATTCATAAATCTAATCTTTTACAATGAATCGCGAACTTTTGGGATTCATATAAGAAAATGAAGTGAGTATATTGATTAATAAATAGTAAATGATCATTAACATATATTGTTCGTGAATTGTAGGAGAAAAACGATGATGCATTAGGTAAAAATATTCAATAATGTGAATGCAGCGGAGAATACACATATTTCTATTAGAGAACGAAAACACAACAATCAACACATGTCGATTTTCTCAATATTCTATTTCTCTGAATAGAATATCAAAAGGAGAAAATTATAGTGAACATCATAAATTTATTTAATCAAATATTTTTGTATACGATTATTGTAAGAATCAGCAACATAAAGATTTCCAGTTCTGTCAAAGACCAAATATTCAGGACAATCCAGTTGATTTGAACCCGATCCTTGGCCGTTGTTTCCTACCACAAAAGACCCCGTAGTTGCACCCTGAGGCCAACGCATCACGCGAGCGCACCTTTATTCCATTGCATCACCCGATGATTATCAGTATCCGAAACAAAAACATTTTGTTGCCGATCCATAAAAATATATGTTGGCCTATTCAGCTCATCCGACGCATTACCTTGACGGCCAGTTCCAGCCGCAACAGTTTGGTTTCTTCCATCGATGTCGTATCGTTTCACCTGATGGTGCTCATTATCAGAAATATAGAGATATCTTTGATGATCGATAGCCAATCCTGCACAACGAATGTTTTTGATGAGAATTTCTGCAGTCTTGTTAAGATTATGTCTAAACAAGCGAAGAATTCTTCGGTTCGATTGATCACAAATAATGAGAGTATTCGATGCTCTGTCAATTAGCACATCAACTGGATGGTGCAATTGACCTAATTTTGTTCCTTTCCTACCACCAAATAATACTACTACTTCCTTATCGCCTTGCTTCCACTCGTCAATTCGATGATTTCGATGGTCAGCAATGAGAATATTTTGATTATCATCAATAAAGAGACCATGAGGATGATAAACTCGATAAGTCGCATTATCTTTCTGACGGCCTTCAATTATTGTGATTCCATTCTGTTCCCATTGAGCATCGACAGATATATTAAGCATTGCTAAAAGGAAGAAAGACAACGCATGATGCGCAACGCAGTATCAGAGTAGACGACGTAGATCTTACGCATGGACGCTGTGATGACTGTCATTGATACTGATGTTATTAACATTGACGATGTGTTTGTTGTCTGACTCGTTGTTGACATCGTCGTAATAGGTGTCGTACGTGCCATGATTGTTACTACGGAAAGGCAAGAGAAATGTCGAGGAAATATATCCTAACAGCTCTGAATGATAAAAAAACTTACCCAAATTCTCTTCTGAAGATGAAAAACAGAAATGTAAACAAGTCCAATAATACAAATCACTTACGTCTATGAGTTAGTGTAACAAATATAACGATAGCCAATACAATTAAGCAGAGAGTCACGGATATTAAAAGAACATAACGAATCTTTTTCAATGCTACAATGGATCCCAATTGTGGGCCAATCAAATTCGGCTAAAATGAAATATTTCAATAGCGTACTTGGAGAAACTACAGGACAATACTCGAATGCCGTCAAGATTTAGACACGTGACAACAAACTGAAGTGAATACTCACTGATTGAATACTATTATCATCGGATTCTGATGTTTCGCCATTGGTATCTATTGCAGAAAGTTCATATTGATTTTCATTCAACGAATTCATAGTTCGATACAAAAACGGATGCAGAGTATTCTGTTGTATTTGCAACTGATAGAAATGATTTGATTAGATTTTTATTCTTCCCTTAGGATACGTTGTTATTTGATCTCGATAAGAAAATGTATTCATTCAAAATCGTTCGAAGAATTTACATAATGAAGTGAAAAATGATATCATATACTCAAAAATACTGATATAGCAAAGTGCGATTTTATTCCAGACAGTATATTTATGAGTACACATTTTATTACAACTGTCATCGAAGATATATTAGTAACATCAAAAGAGAATAAATAATAGTGAATACAACAAAATGAAGCAAATCAGTACAATCGAAAGAATTAACAAGTCTGTAAAATAATTTTTAAATTATCAGTACCTTCATTTGCAATTGCGAAATCCAATTTTTCATCATTATTAAAATCTCCAACAGCTAAGGATATCGGTAGAGAACCAAAACCGATCGAAAACACAGTTAAACCTTTGAATGTACCATTGCCATATCCAAGAAATACATACACATTGTTGACACCATTATTCATGACAATGATATCTAATAAAGTATCCTGATTAAAATCACCAACACTTATCGAATATGGTTCAGATTTCAGTCCAGTTGTGAGAATTGTTTGGCTCAGAAAAGAACCATTAGGTTGTCCGAAGAATATACTAATACTGTCATCGCCATAATTAGCAACTACGATATCTAATAGAGCGTCTTTATTGAGATCCCCCGTAGCAATAGACCATGGCGAAAGACCAGTTGAATATGTTGTCTGAGCTGTGAAAGAACCATTATTATAACCAAAGAAAATACCGATAGTGTTAGTACNTCACAATAAGACACGCGCTTATATAGAGAAGAGGAAAGAGAGATATGACCCGGAGATAGTATGATATAGAGGTGAGAGAATAAAGAATAGAAAGAGATGAACGATATCATTATCGTTACAGTCAGCATAACCTATGGTAATAAAAAAGAAAATTTTTCTTTATCGTTTTCTATCTTTCATCGAAACAACAGCATATGATCAATCGTAAAAACTATGCTTTCCTAATCTATCGAATTCTCAATGATCTTTCGGAATTTCAGAATATTTTAGTAGACAATGAATGATAGATTCTCTTTTTTCTCTTTGAAACATAAAAAATATATAGATTTTGATATTATTTGCATACTTGTACAGATTCCAATTTCAACTAAATTCTTCCACCAAGTGTGACGCATATATATTCCCATAAGAAAAAATTGGTTATCTATTCGTTCGTATCGTATTACAGCTAACTCAAATTTCGCTAAATTCAAAGGTAAAAAGCAAATTTGAATCCTTGTTTTTCAACCTATTGTCTAGCATCCAGTATTGATGTTCTATAACCAAATGAATTCAATTCACTCCTATATCTTCATTTCATGTTTTCCTGGAGTATATCGAGAGATATTGTTAGAGAAAAAATGAGAAAAGCTATTTAAAACCGGTTACGTAACAAATATCAATTCTCTATTGTAAGTAATTATTAATATAAACTTAAGAGATGACTATTCAAAGATCTCTGTTGGTATTAGTGATTCAATTTGCCTCACACCTCTATCTGTTTGTTCACCAATAGAGAAATTACAGCGAGTATATGAGACTTCATCAAAATGGCATGTTAATGAAACTTGATGCAATGCCTATCGTTAGACTGAAACTAATGAATTATTTCCATTTCGTTCATACTAGTTGATGCGAGTTATATACTAAGCTTCGCAGAGACATAAAATCAGCCCCAATGAAGTTATCTTATTCAGAAGCTGACGTCGATAAATAGGCTCGTAATCGTTGGTATATTACTATCCATTTCACAACAAGTACGCATCCCATAAAAATATTAGAACAATAAACAGAAATTAAATAAAATTTTGCCCGACAAACGGTTTTGTATAAAAACGATGAATAATAATTACAAAAGGAAAAGGTTATACTCGTAGTTTTCAATATTTCAATTCAATGCAAATAAATGACAGTAAGCAAGACGAGGATAACAATTATATTATTTGGTATTTAAAAGAGATTGATGAAGTGATTTTATCGAGAAGAATGCTCAAATTATAGATTGTCATTTTTCTTTGAACGTCCAGTTTTCTTTTACTCTATATTATCTTTTTTTTTACTTCGTATAGATCTCTCTCTATATCAAACAATATGAAAATATGTTCATCGACAAAAATAGCCAGAGTTGTTGTCAATGTTACAACGGATGCGTCGCCCTCAGAAAACTCGTTGTTCGATCGATCATTATCTGCATCGACTGTCTTACCTAGCACACCAAACAATGACATCAGTACTACTGATAAAAACGTTCGAGAACAATTGCAAATCATTGCTGATCAATCTTTATCACCTGATGTGAATAAAAATGAAGAAAGTGTTTCGAAGACAACTGAAAACCATTACAAAAGAAAGGAAGCACTTACAAAACTACATCACAAAAGCAAAGCCACTAAAACTAGTGGCGATTCTATGGTAGCTTCATCCTCAATTAGCATCGATGAGGTTGGGAAAAATGATAACAAAAATCATCCCCAATCATCAACATCTGTTTGGAAATACGCGACTCGAAGTCATGACAAAAAACACGCTATTTGCCTTATTTGTGGTACACAGATTACTACTAGTAATTGGTCAACGTCAGCGTTACGGCGTCATTTAATTCTCAAGTACAACAGATTATATATGTGCTTGTAAAACACATCAGGAGCGCAACAATCATCCAATGTGTCTCGACATCTTAAAGAAAAATTACATCAACTATGTATCGAGGCAATCATTCGTGATAGTTTACCTTTCAATTGCATCAGTAAATCTTGTTTATCAAAAGTGATAAAAGAAGCATTTCCTGATAAGTTACATCTTTTATTTTACATTTTCTATCCACTGAAAGTATACAAGTAATTCGCTGATACGAATGTTGTTCTGAGAATGCACATCGTACATTTCCTTGAATCTTGATGTCGGATCCTCAATCAACAATTTTCGGTGAAATACATTTCTTCAACTGTGAGTTATTATATTGTGTTGTATGTGTTACGTATATAAATAAATAATACTTCTTTGCATAAATTGTACGCTCATACCATTACGAACGACTTATTCCGAATATCATACTTCAATTACATACGCTTGCATTTTGTCAACAGAATGAGAATCGATACTCAAGCTCAGATAAGTAGTATTCATAACAAGAAACAGTATTAAGTCCAAACAATTAGTTGGAATCGGAGTAACACTCGAAGCTTTGAGTTCACTCAGTCTTATCGCTTTTCAGGAGAGTCATTGCAAAACCGGTTTCTTGTAGAAAAAAGTTTTTAATCTATTTTTATATAGAGAAAATAATGAGATGAGATCTGGATGAACTTATTTGACTCGAAATTTACTATTGTTCATGGTGTAGAAATACTCAAACAAGGCAACTCTTGTTTTTTTGTGTTGAGTATGTATTTATCTTCGAATATTGAGCGTACTACCGTAACAAAAAATGCTCATTTACAAAAAATAGTTTGTCTGTCTGTTGCAGGGGTTAAAAGTCAACATTGACAGAGACTTCACAAATAGGATTCGAAGATCGATGAAACTAATCGATAACTGTGATGGACTGAGAAATTGACCAATTAGGTATCGTGCTGTTTAAAGCTGATAAATTGGATATCTAAAGTGAATGAATCAGGGAATCAATCATTTAATATTGGGTTGCTGAGAAAGGTCTTGCCCTTTTTTGGAAATGGTCATAAAATCTTCTAGAAAGTTCTCGAAGCTTTGGTATTAAGGATATATGTAGGGAGGGTGAATGAAGTCCCAACGAAAATACCGATATCTCTCGTAGAGGAATTCGAATCATTTTGCTCCATGAATTTCGATTGGGACACAAAGCAACTAAAGCAGCGAAGAATATATGCAATACGACGGGTCCCGGTGCCCTGTCCATCCGCACAGCACAACATTGGTTTGATCGATTTCGTAATGGGAATTACGAACTTGATGACCAACCCAGGCGTGGAAGACCTATCGAAGTCGATATCGATCTTTTGAAGCAGCAGATCGAACAAGATCCACGACTAACGACACGAGCTTTAGCAGCGCTGCTCGGGTGTTCCCATATTACCCTCGAAAAACATTTAGCTGATTTTTGCAAGAGCTGGAAATATGGGATATGGATTCCACACAAATTATCGCCGTATCAGCTTCAGTCACGGGTGAACACGTGTATGCATTTAATCACATCTCATCGTAATTATCAATGACTGCATACGCAATCTTGTCACTGGCGATGAGAAGTGGGTGCTCTATGTTAACTATACACGCCGACGGCAATGGCTTAGCAGTGTTGAAACTAGAGTCGCAACACCTCGAAAAGGAAAACAAGATCGAATTTACTTCCTACACGACAATGCGAGACCACATGTGGCAAAGTTGACTGGTGCAAAATGATTGCAGCTCGCTTGGATTACCATACTTCCCACCCACCTTATTTGCCGAACTTGACTCCCACTGACTATCATTTGTTTCGCTCTCTGTCCAACTACTTGAGCGAGAGAACTTCGACGACGAGAACGACCTAAAATCCGCTCTCGCAACTTTTTTCGATCGGAAGTCTCCAGACTCCAATGAGCAGGAGATCCTTTGCCTTCCAGATCGTTGGCGTCAAGTTATAGAAACAGATGGTGCATACATAGATGAGAACTAGTTCTTGTTGATAAAGAAAAAAAAATACAATGACAATCTGAGAAAAAACGCAAAAACTTTCTTCCCAACCGAATACCAAATCGACTGAAAATAGAGGAGTTAAGAGGTTTGATATTTCATGGAGATGTTGAATTGATAACAAGCAAATAAGTTTCTTGAATAGATTCGATGTATATAATATCATACCACTAATGAATTTTTGAATATAAAAATCCAATTAATGATTTACAACCTATACGTTTACGATTCGAAAAAATACAGTCAAATGCAGATGTCCATAATAATTATGATGCATTTGTAAATAAAAGATGTATTAGAAAACATTTCAGAGATTCGAATGCACATGAACACACTTCTGAAGCAAATTGAATATTTGTATTAATATTCATATTAAAACTAACGTTCGCACCATTAAAAAATCGACTAGCAGTTAATCCAATCAATAATATGTTTAAAATTATTACGAGTCGTATTACTAAATGAATCGATTAGTTGTTCAGCAGAGATTAACATATTTCGAACATCTGAAATTGCAATTAGAAGAACACAAATATCATTTTATTGCATCATATGCTTTGATTCAAGTTTTGTACATTGAGTCCGAAAGAAAAACAAATATTTGATAAAAGTGTGTGTTGTTATCGCTAAATAAAGAGACAAATAATGATGATATATGAGAAAAATATACTATTTAAAACAAGCTTACGACGAAAAAGAGAGCACAATTTCAAGATAAATGTTTGAAAAAAGTACTTTTCTGTATTTCTTGTTTTTTGTTTTCAATTTATCAAGTAATCATTAGTACTTTTTCGAAATTTCTTTTTTCAAATATTTGACTTTGTGAATAGTTCAAGCTGATCCACAAATCTGCGATGGATTATTACAATATGACAAATGTTCAACCAATCCATCGTGCCTTTGTCTTCATTCTGTCTCTTCTAATGCAACTGGTATCTGCGCACTTCAAAGTGCCACTTGTTCAGAACTTGTTTCATGTGTATTAAACACTTCTCCGTGTTCTCAACCAAACCACATATGTGTTCGACACCCTCAATGCCAAAATCAACCTGTATGTTACCCGTTGTCAATGGCAACCAATCAACTCTGTCCACCAGTTGTTGATAAAATATGTTCAACAGCGACATGGTCAAAACATGGAATCACGGTTGCTGGTGGACACGGTTTCGGAAGAGATTTGCACCAACTGGCCGATCCATATGGAATATTTCTCGATGAGAACGATGCGATTTACATTGCCGATCGTTCTAATTTTCGTGTGATTAAATGGGAACAAAATTCCACAATTGGTCAATGGGCCGCGGGTCTGAAAGTAGATGGAGATGCTACTCATGACCTTCCATTGAATATGCCACAAGATATCGTTGTGGATAAGAATGGTACAATTTATATTAGTGATGGAGGAAATTATCGAGTTGTTCGATGGTATCGAGGCGCAGATAAAGGTGAAATTCTTGTTGATCGTGTGCAAGTGGTTGGCATCGGACAAGATAATCAAGGATTTGTTTATGTTTCGGAATACGCTGCTGGTCAAATAACCAAATGGAACTTTGATGAGGATGAGTTCGATGGGCAAATTGTTGCAACAAATTTACCCTTATCGACTTTTATCTATATTGATGGAAAACGATCGATTTATTCTGCTGGAATGAGTGCAAATCGAATAGCTAAAGTGGTGGAAGACGCTGATGAGCCAATTCTTGTTGCTGGACCATCAGGTGTTGTAGGTGATGCGTTTGATCAGCTTAACAGCCCAACAGGTGTTTATGCAGATGAACAAGAAACAGTTTATATCGCTGATACGAATAATCATCGAGTAATGCGTTGGTTGAAAGGTGCGACAAGTGGAACATTGATTGCCGGTGGAAACGGTGAAGGTTCATCATCAGATCAATTGAATTACCCTTCTGATGTATTTCTTGATCGAGAGGGAAATCTGTATGTTACTGATACGTTAAATAATCGAGTCCAGAAGTTCTTAGTTGATAAAAGCTCTTGTCAGAAGAAAAAATAAATTTCTCTTTTCTGTGAATCGATTATTTTGTAATCCAGAGAATGTGAATTTACACTGAACGATTCTCCTGGCAAATGTTTTGATCAACTTACTGACTATAATTGCAAAACTATATTTAGGCGTGAACCAGTAAATCAACATATTGAGGTTAAAAACATTTCCTGTTTTTTCATGCAATAGAGATCATATTTATCTTTCGATGAAAGGAGATGTTTACAACTATTTCCGACCAATAATAACGAGACGAAAAATGATATACGAATGTTATATCTTATAAGATGAGAAGAATCTAGGGCTGTTCAGCTATTGACAATTAAACAATACGTCTTTGTCTATTTAAAATGTTGTTTTTCAGGTATCGTATAAGATCACGGTTATAGAAGAATAAATCGATTACAATGATATCTGCACTCATCACAGGGAGGAATTGTATGAATTGAGAGACCTAAAAAATCATTTGAGGATCGAAGAGTAGGTATATAACCCACTAAGAACACCACTGAAATGAAAAACATATGTCGAAGTAGATGAAAATCTCGTGTATGGCGATTTGAATTGACAATAGAACTCGTCACTGATGGCAAATTGTTTACACGACGAGTCGAAGAACGTACTAATACGAATATCATTGAATTAAAGATGGCATTGAGAATCGCGGGTAATATAATAAGAGTAACAAAAGTGTAAAAAGAAATCCAATGTGGGATTGACTTTTGACTTAAACATGCCTATAAAATAGAGATTTTACGTCTAATAATAATCAATTTATATTAACCTGCACGGAGAAAATGATCGAAATTATCCATTGTAAAGCAGATGATACAAAAGGCCGTGCATGACTTTTGAAAAAGTTTTTATGTGGATATTTAATCGCACAAAATCGATTCATTGTAACTACCATCGCAGAATGAATAAGTAACCAATATATTATCCAATAAACTGAACAAATAATAGCTGTTAAACAGAAATTGCCTGTTAAGATATTGTTCGTCGTATGGAAACGTCGAACTAAGATAATCGATACAAGATAAATCAATGGTAATATAATTCCGATTAAAAGACTAAAGATCATTATAGCGATTATAATATTCATCACTGCACCTTGTGTCTACTTTGTTGTGTAAAGAAGATGAATTATAAATGAAAATGATACACTCAATTTTCCATGTTATCAAATCTGTTTTTATAATCAAGCGTTTGACGAAAACTGATGAAGCAATAATCACGTAGGATACCTTCGGGCAGGATTCGAGAGTTCCTTGAACCGATTCGTTCCAGTGTGTGTTCCAACCGAACTAACACCTGTTCCAAGTAGAACTCGATGAGCTCTATCTGTTCCAAAAATAAAATTTTGGAAAAAGTCCCTTCTTNTAAAGTCGCCAACAGCCAATCCTTGTGGTGCCGCACCAGTAGAATATGTTACTTGTTGTGCAAAAGATCCATTCGTGTGGGCGAGAAGAACACTAATAGTATTGTCAGCATTATTCGAAACGACAATATCCAATCTCGAATCATTATTAAAGTCACCGACAGCTAAAGACCAGGGACCGTAGCCAGATGAGTATCCGATTCGAGGAGCGAGATCTCCTGTGTCAAAAACAGTAAATATATCTATATTGTCAGTGTCATAATATGCGACAATAGCTTCTGCTTGTCCATCATTATCAAAGTCACCAGAACTAACAACGAAAGGGGGAAAATCCATATCATTACCATAAGGTTTCTGACTGACAAGCCGCCCGTTACCGTCACCCAGAAGTATTCCAATGTTTTTAGTACCATAATTGGCCACAACGATATCCACTCGACCATCTTTATTGAAGTCGTCAACAGCGATCGAATATGGATGGGAATCTGAGCCCGTTGTAAAAACAATTTGATTCTCAAATGTACCATTACCGAATCCCAGAAGGACACCCACAGTGTTTGTACCGTAGTTAGCTACAGCAAGATCTAGCTGCCCGTCGTTATTAAAATCCCCAATAGCAACGCATCGTAGATATGAACCACCACCGGATGCATACGTAATTTCACTTGTTAGATCTCCTCCAATAAAATGAAGTAATATGCTTACCGTTTGATCGTTTTGATTAGCGACCACAATATCAATTAAGTTGTCGTTATTAACATCGCCAGCAGCTAGAGTGTTTGGCCCAGAGCCAGTTGAATACACAGTTTGATTTCCAAAGAGTCCGTCACTCTCACCAAGAAGTAAACTGACACTGTTATCACCATGATTAGCAATCACAATATCTGCATAGATATCTTTGTTGAAATTACCGACAACTACAGCTACGGGTGCAGAACCAGTTGAATATACCATTTGATTTGTGAAAGAGCCATTTCCGTATCCAAGAAAGATACTTACAGTACCGTCTCCCGTATTAACAACAACAAGATCCAGATGAGTGTCACTATTGAAATGACCGATGTCTACTGCCTGCGGTCCAGCACCCGTGATATACGTTGTTCGACTTACAAAATATCCACCAGGCGAGCCGAAATATATGCCTATACTGTTGCTCCAAGATTCGACAACGGTAATATCCAAATATGTATCTTCATTGAAATCAGCAATAACTAGAGCCCATGGACCCAAACTAGTTCCATAAGTTTGTTGATTCAAAAATGAACCGTTACCATATCCGAGAAATACACTTACAGAATTACCAAAATAATTAACAATCACGACATCAAGCTTTTTGTCATTGTTAAAGTCACCCAGTGCTACGAAACATGGTCCAGAACCAGTTGCATACGTTGTTTGATTTGCAAAACTTCCGTCACCATGTCCAAGAAATACACCCACAGTATTGTCAGCGTTGTTAGTGACAATGATATCGAGTATACTGTCATCATTAAAGTCGCCAACAGCCAATCCTTGTGGTGCCGCACCAGTAGAATATGTTACTTGTTGTGCAAAAGATCCATTCGTGTGGGCGAGAAGAACACTAATAGTATTGTCAGCATTATTCGAAACGACAATATCCAATCTCGAATCATTATTAAAGTCACCGACAGCTAAAGACCAGGGACCGTAGCCAGATGAGTATCCGATTCGAGGAGCGAGATCTCCTGTGTCAAAAACAGTAAATATATCTATATTGTCAGTGTCATAATATGCGACAATAGCTTCTGCTTGTCCATCATTATCAAAGTCACCAGAANCGTCAATAATCTCGTGTAAAAAAAAAACAACATTTATAATTAACAAACAAAGTTTTTCTGTGTTTCTTAGGTTATAATTTGTTGCTTTTATGTCATTACACTCTCTATCGTCAACTAATTTCACATGTGATTTATTATTGCTGGGAATGAGAAAGGCAAATGGGTTGACGAAACAAAAAAATTGCCAAACAGTTCAACCTTTATTCATTCTTCTTCTGAAAAATGCGAATATGACATTGTGGACTAGATATCTCTCATTTTTAACATTCATATCTATAATTTTAGATATTATCAGCCAATTACACACATCAGGAATTGTGACGTACACAAGAGTACCGTAATCTTGCGTATGCCGAAGAAAAGAACCTTTGTTCATAACAATCGTCGAATCACAATTGAGTGAAGTACCCGATAATGCGAATGCTCCTCCTTTTTCAACTGTTAATCCACACCATAAATTGATTCTTTTTTTAGTTTTGTGAAAGATTTTGTTGCACCACATATTGAATTCATAATTTTTCAAAAACATTTTTTAAACAATCAATCAAAGGGAATTCAATAAGAAATTGTTTATTGAATCAAATAGAGTTTTTCATAAATATCGCTAAAGGATAAATTCAGACAATAAAATTCGGTCGACACACAGATTTAAATTGCATAAAATCTGTAATCGATGAAAGTAATTCAGTTGACATATCTGTCGGGAGGAAAATATCAAATTTAAATGGATCATTGTTCGGATTTCCAACCACTCGACCATTTCGTGTTGGGACCATAACTAAACGTCGACAAAACCACACACGTAACATCATATCAATCTGATTTGATGCTTGAACAATTTCTGTCCGAACAATAACGATGTTTTCATATTGCATACTCAACATTCCATCGAGAAAAAAACCTTCTATTCCAATAAGTATATGACCACATTTGCGAGATAGAAGTTGTCGAACCGACGACTTCGACATATTTCCTTTGGATTCAATTTGAATATGTTGAACGTATCTAGACCATTGATCACCTTCTAAGCGAATCATGTAGCAAATACCAGCTTCGATTATTCTCTTTATTTGTGATATGCGACGTTTGTACATACAACACGGGAGAAAAACACCAAAAATTGGAAATAGAAAGAAAAAGAGTAAACATTTCCACCACAATTTCCGTCGTTTATGCTTTGTAACCAATAGGAAAATATCCTTAATAATTTTTTGATCTTCATCAGGTGTTGTACCTCCAATAATTCCTGTATTTGTTGGCCCAAAACTTTTCTGAAGATCACCGACTGTATATGATGGTAATACTGGTAGAGATTCAAGAGGGATTTCATCATTCCTATTTTCTCTGGAAACTGGCTCTTGGTGAACGTCAGTATTGATCTGCGCCATGAATGTTATCAATTCATTGTGAAGGATTTCTCATGATTTTATACGATATATAATAGAAACCTTATCTTTTTGACAGATAGTCAATCAATTTTATCATTGGAAATATTAACACTGTCAATATAATTATTTATCTAAGAACATTGAGACAACTTATCAATATTAATACTTTGACATCTACTCCGATTTCGAGGTTAAAATTTAAGGAGAGACTTTTCTTCTGGAATAATACAAATAAAATTTGTTTTTCAAGTTCGAAAATTGAATATCCATACGCAGTTGCTCACTGTGCAGCCTAAATACCATTAACCAGGGCTACATTGTTCGTTACTATTCGCATATTCGTTCATGTTTTTGTTTTTGCATCGTTAGAAGATTCTAAATAATCATTTCTAGCATATGCTATGATTCCCATGCGATTGCTATAGTTGTATGTTGTTCCAAGATCTACATAAATCCATTGCGGCTGACTATAGGCACTTGACCAGCGCGTATTCCCGTTGGTATCAACTACTTTATCACTCGTGTTGACCGAATTTTCATTGGATGAAACAGTAACTGAATTGTGGTACGCAATATTCGATGCTAAAGTTGTGCCAGTGGAATAACTGCGAATGAAATCAATAATTTTCGTCCGTGTAAGACTAGTAACATCCCCAAAACCATCCCTCATATCTCCGTAATCTTTCTAATGGTGTACTTCCTTTACCCATCAGTTGATTGTAATATTCATAATTATCCGATATGGTTTGACGTTCGCACGAAGACTCATCAACTGGTTTTGCTGAACACCAAGATCTCCAGCAAGTGTTCTATGGACTCGAGTCTGCCCGCTAATAGCTGTCTACCATTTTGAATCAACATCTGACATATGAGTAAAATAAGCGCCCACAGAAAAGTCCATGACAAAAATATGACTAGGATCACCTTAACGATCCCTTTTGTAAGCCACATCACCATAACGTAATCCAAATCTCGACTTCTTGTATCTTGTGTTAAGATAGAAAAGCTTGGTGCAATTCTATGTTTTCATAAGAACAAAGAGATAGAAAACGATCAATTCTCTCTAACTGAAACTCAAGAATCTATAATAGTTGGATCTTGTATATAACTCGATGAGTCCAAGAATAAATTAAAAATTGATATGCAAAATAATTCATAGATGTAAGCTTTTACAATGAATCGCGAACTTCTGGGATTCATATAAGAACATGAAGTGAGTATATTGATTAATAAATAGTAAAAGATCATTAACATACATTGTTCGTGAATTGTAGGAGAAAAACGATGATGCATTAGGTAAAAATGTTCAACAGTGTGAATGCAGCGGAGCATACACCTATTTCTATTAGGGAACGAAAACACAACAATCAACACATGTCGATTTTCTCAATATTCTATTTCTCTGAATATAATATCAAAAGGAGAAAATTATATTGAACATCATAAATTTATTTAAACAAATATTTTTGTATACGATTATTGCGAGAATCAGCAACATAAAGATTTCCAGTTCTGTCAAAAACCAAACCTTTAGGACAATTCAGTTGATTTGAACCCGATCCTTGGCCGTTGTTTCCTACCACAACAGACCCCGTAGTTGCACCCTGAGGCCAACGCATCACGCGATTATTTCTACAATCTGCCACATATACGGTATTTGACGAGTCAACGAATATTCCAGCCGGTTGTTGCAGTTTTTTTAGTATTCTTCCTACTATGCCATTTCCTGCAACTATTTTCCCTACACTTGCACCTTTATTCCATTGGATCACCCGATTATTCTCAGTATCCGAAACGAAAACATTTTGTTGCCGATCCACAAAAATATATGCTGGACTATTCAGCTCATCCGACGCATTACCTTGACGGCCAGTTCCAGCCACAACAGTTTGGTTTCTTCCATCGGTATCGTATCGTTTCACCTGATGGTGCTCATTATCAGAAATATAGAGATATCTTTGGTGATCGATGGCCAATCCTGCGCAACGAATGTTATTGATAAGAATTTCTGCAGTCTTATTTGGACTACGCCTAAACCAGCGAAGAACTCTGCGGTTCGATTGATCACAAATAATGAGAGTATTCAATGCTCTGTCAATTAGCACATCAACTGGATGGTGCAGTTGACCTAGTTTTGTTCCTTTCCCACCACCAAATAATACTACTACTTCCTTATCGCCTTGCTTCCACTCGTCAATTCGATGATTTCGATGGTCAGCAATGAGAATATTTTGATCATCATCAATAAAGAGACCGCGAGGCTGATAAACCCGGTAAGTCGCATTATCTTTCTGACGGCCTTCAATTATTGTAATTCCATTCTGTTCCCATTGAGCATCGACAGATATATTAAGCATTGCTAAAAGGAAGAAAGGCAACGCATGATGCGCAACGCAGTATCAAAGTAGACGACGTAGATCTTACGCATGAACGCTGTGATGACTGTCGTTGATACTGATGTTATTAACATTGACGATGTGTTTGTTGTCTGACTCGTTGTGTCAGATGTCGTAAGTGTCACTGTCGTTACTACGGAAAGGCAAGAAGTATGACGAGGAAATATATTCTGACAGTTCTGAATGATAAAAAAAACTTACCCAAATTTCCTTCTGAAGATGAAAAACAGAAATGTAAACAAGTCCAATAATACAGATCACTTACGTCTATGAGTTAGTGTAACAAATATAACGATAGTCAATATAATTAAGCAGAGAGTCACGGATATTAAAAGAACATAACGAATCTTTTTCAATGCTATAATGGATCCAAATTGGAGGCCAATCAAATTCGGCTAAAATGAAATATTTCAATAGTGTACTTGAAGAAACTACAGGACAATACTCGAATGTACTCAAGATTTAGACACGTGACAACAAACTGAAGTGAATACTCACTGATTGAATACTATTATCATCGGATTCAGATGTCTCGCCATTGGTATCTATTGCAGAAAGTTCATATTGATTTTCATTCAACGAATTCATAGTTCGATACAAAAACGGATGCAGAGTATTCTGTTGTATTTGCAACAGATAGAAATGATTAGATTAGATTTTTATTTTTCCCTTATGATACGTTGTTATTTGATCTCGATAAGAATATGTATTCATTCAAAATCGTTCGAAGAATTTACATAATGAAGTGAAAAATGATATCGTATACTCAAAAATACTGATATAGCAAAGTGCGATTTTATTCCAGACAGTATATTTGTGAGTACACATTTTATTACAACTGTCATCGAAGATATATTAGTAACACCAAAAGAGAATAAATAATAGTGAATACAACAAAATGAAGCAAATCAGTACGATCGAAAGAATTAACAAGTCTGTAAAATAATTTTTAAATTATCAGTACCTTCATTTGCAATTGCGAAATCCAATTTTTCATCATTATTAAAATCTCCAACAGCTAAGGATATCGGAAGAGAACCAAAACCGATCGAAAACACAGTTATACCTTTGAATGTACCATTGCCATATCCAAGAAATACATACACATTGTTGACACCATTATTCATGACAATGATGTCTAATAAAGTATCTTGATTAAAATCACCAACACTTATCGAATATGGTTCAGATTTCAGTCCAGTTGTGAGAATTGTTTGACTCAGAAAAGAACCAGTAGGTTGTCCGAGGAATATACTAATACTGTCATCGCCATAATTAGCAACTACGATATCTAATAGAGCGTCTTTATTGAGATCACCCGTAGCAATAGACCATGGCGAAAGACCAGTTGAATATGTTGTCTGAGCTGTGAAAGAACCGTTATTATAACCAAAGAAGATACCGATAGTGTTAGTACCAGAATTTGCGACGGCAATATCGTTTCGATTGTCGCTGTTGAAATCTCCAACGACGAACGACCTTGGTAAAGAACCATTGCCAGTCAGTAATGTCGTCTGTTTAACAAAAGCGATATTCACATATCCAAGTAGCACACTTATGCTTTTATTTCGAAAGTCAGCGACGGCAATATCAAGTCGCTTGTCGTTATTAAAGTCGGCAATGGCTAAAGCATATGGTAAGAAACCACTTGAATATACCACTTGATCTGCAAAAGATCCATCGCCATTACCGAGCAATACGCTTAAAGTGTTATCAGCAGCATTAATAACGACGACATCTAATCGTTCATCTTGGTTCAAATCACCAACGGATACAGCCTGTGGTTCACTACCAGTTGGAAACATCAGGTGATTTGTGAACGTACCATTGCCGTGTCCGAACAGTACACTGATAGTGTTGCTACGGTCATTCGCAGTGACAATATCCAGTTTCGAATCAGCGTTGAAATCACCGAGCGATACAGAAAAGGGTGCGTATCCAGTTGAATACGTTGTTAAATATTTCAAAGTTCCATTTCCACATCCTAGGAATATGCTGACAGTATCGTCATTAGTATTAGCAACGACAATATCAATGTGCGTGTCATTGTTGAGAAGTCCTGCAACTAAAGAAGAAGGTCCAGAGCCAGTAGGGTACGAAATAGAATGCATAAATGTTGCATTGTCACGTCCCAGAAGGACACTTATAGTGTTATCACCATAATTAGCAGCCACTAGATCCAGTTTTTTGTCAATATTGAAATCACCCACTACTACGAAACATGGTCCAGAACCAGTTGCATGCGTTGTTTGATTTGCAAAGCTTCCGTCACCATGTCCAAGAAATAGACTCACAGTATTGTCAGCGTTGTTAGTGACAATGATATCGAGTATACTGTCATCATTAAAATCGCCAACAGCCAATCCTTGTGGTGCCGCACCAGTAGAATATGTTACTTGTTGTGCAAAAGATCCATTCGCGTAGGCGAGAAGAACACTAATGGTATTGTCAGCATTATTCGAAACGACAATATCCAATCTCGAATCATTGTTAAAGTCACTGACAGCCATACCGGATGACTTGTAACCGACTGGATACACTGTTTGATTTCGAAATCCTTTAGAATAGGCAAGAAGAATACCAATACTGTTCGTATCATTGTGAATGACGACAATATCTAATTCTTTATCGTTATTAATATCAGTTACAACTAATGAAGTTGTCGATAAAGATCCTGTTGAGTAGACCGTTGGATTTGCAAATGTTCCATTGCTTTGTCCGAGAAAGACAGCAATATCGTTTTTACCTTGATTTGTAATAATTAAGTCAGTTCGATTATCTTTATTCAGATCTTCAACAGCAAGAGCGTAAGGAGAAGAATGGCCGAGTGAATACATCGTCGGATACGTAAACGAACCATTGTCGGTGCCGAATAGTACGCCTATATTGTTAGTACCGTAATTAGCAACGACAATATCCGGCAAATTATCACGATTAAAGTCGCTGATAGCAATCGAGCGTGGATGAGATGCGGAGCCTGTTGAAAAGATTCTAGCGTTTGCAAAAATATTGCTGCTATTTCCGAGTAATATAGCGACATTGTTTGTACCATAGTTAGCAACAGCAAGATCCATCTGCCCATCGGCATTAAAATCTCCTGCGGAAATCGCAATCGGCACAGAATCATAACCCATGAAATATGTGACTGGATTCGAAAATCGTCCAGTTCCATATCCATAAAATACGTTTATACTATGCGTGCCGTAGTTGGCTGTGACAATATCGTGTGTTCTATCGTTGTTCAAATCATACACAAAGATTCCAAGAGGACGCGATGAACCAGTTGAAAGCATTGTCTGACTTGAAAATAATCCTTCTCCAATTCCGAGAAATATCCCCACGTTATTTGTACCAAAATTCGCAACGGCAATATCAAGTAGATAATCGCCATTGAAATCACCGATAGTCACCATACATGGGGTAGACAACATCCCAGTGGAATAAGTGGCTGACTTTGCGAAACTGCCGTTACCGTGACCAAAAACTATACCAATATTATCTGTCGCGTGGTTCGCTACAACGATATCCATCCAAGTGTCGTTGTTGAAATCTCCAGCAGTAACTGACTGTGGACGATAATTGTATTCGATTGGCAAAACCCTCGTTGAAGCAAATCGCATCGCACATTTAGCAGCTGAAAATCGTAAGAACAATAAGAAGAGTAATTATAACTTCATCGAACTGAAAAATGCAAAAATATAAGGACATACCAGACTGTTTTTGTATAGTAAAACAAACTACCAACACGCTCATGAGTACCACTATACTCAAACACACAATAGATATAAACAAACGAAGCGTGCAGAAAGTCAGTATGAATCGGAAGCAAAATTTTCTAAAACAATAGAATAAATGTTATTTGAAACGTGTCAAATAAACAATGCACACATTTTTTCAGAAGTTGTGAGGGGTCTTGTTGTCTTTGTGATGGAATGAGGAATACATTTCACACAACCATTTGTATCAAAAGCCATTTTCGTATTCATATTTCCATTAACAATACCAGGAGTTTTTACCACAATAGGCCGATTCATCGAAATTATCTCACGGTCCACAAAAGTGATTTTAATCTATAAGTAAAGATTAACGATGACAATCAATGATACATAGTCAAGATTATCATATCTGATATTTATACAGAACGACGTGTGATATCAACAACTAAGTATAAAAATTCGAAATATATTCTTGTTTACATATCCGATTGTCTTCTGATTATGGATATTGTTTATTCACAATCGAATATCAGTGCTTTTTGTAGACAGGACAATGAAAACAAAAGAAATGTCACACGTCTGTATAATTTTTGATAGGCCTTTCATTGATGTTGAATTAATCTCGTACCTTTCGCAATTATGAAAAAGAACAATAGATAAAAGATTCGATAGACTGACAGTGATATTTCTCTAGGCAAAAAATCAACTCGTATATGTCTCGAGGAAATTTTGTTAATATAAAAAAATTGATTTATGTGCCTCTTTCTTTTTTCCCACACGAATAAAATATGTATTGATGACCATAAAACTAATCTAATCACCGTCTCTCCAATCGAATTGTCTATACTTATTTATTTATCGTCGAGGACAAAAACAGCGTACTTAGCTACCTATTATCGCGACATTGAGAAAAAAGGTGAAAAATGTACTTTTTTTGTTTATTTCTTTAATTTTATCCATATCGACAATTAGAAGATATATCCGGTAGGTTTTTATTACCATCAGAGTTCTATGGTATCACACGATAAGTACTGCGTTGTTTATTAAAGCTATTTTAGTTTTGTATCCGTGGACGAATATGATGTTTATTTTATCATCCAACATTAATATGAACATGTATCTTTAGATGTACAGAATGAATGAGATAGATGAATATATGACCATTTTCCAAGGTGGAAGAAATCTGATAACAGATTTGATAAGATTTTACAAGATCCGATTATCCTGTATAATTCAATAGGATCTTTAGTGATGAATGTGCGTCGTATTCCGGCGGCAAGGTTTTGACGAGCTATCATAAATTTTATGAGCGTTACTTGTAGATGTATATTGTATTATAGGTTTAAGTAATTATTGCATGGATTCATCGGACACCGTTAGGAATGATTTCCTCATCGAGAATTTTGATAGAATCTAGTAATGGATTCGATGACGAAATTAGTACGTCTAGGTCGAAACAACCTTAGGTGAACTTAGGAAGTAAAAAGAATTGCAAGACACAATTAAATCTCGTGATAAGCACAGTTTCTTCTTCTGTTACCGATTCATCTCCGATAGTTACGAAAGAATTTCGAAATTTTCGTAGTCAGTCATGTAAATGCCAATTACGTGTCGTAAAATTATTCGGATAATTGACATTTGTCTAGAAATATTTTCCTCTAAAAAAAATGATAAATATTCAAGTCCACTTTCTCGTACTGTACACAGATCGTTTAGCGTTCTACCTTGTAGTGTGTTTTATTTTCGATACGTTGTGCCGATTAGTAGTGGAATATGACTGGAAAATCGAATAAAAGATCGTTTGTCTGTTCTTTTAAAGGTATCGCCATCATTACCTTTCGATAAGCTTGAATATCATCTTGATATTCATTATTTTTATTATAAATGACAAGACTTGGTGCTTAGATAGATGCGTAAGATAAGTTAGTTTAACAAAAGCATCCGCAGACTTTAGAGATACAGTTATAAAAGCAGTGTAATGAGAAGTTTCGAGTAAGATCTCTTCAGCTATATCCTTAAAGTTGATTTCAAAGAAGCAACGTAACGCGATTTCTAGGAAGAAATTCATTTTAGATTTTTTCTCTTTATCTTAACTATTCGTTTCACCACACATTCGAACTATGGCTCATGTGAGTTTATCACATTTTCGAAGATCAGTTATAGTTCTTTCTAATAAACATTTATTATCTTTTATCAGTTAAATCTCTATTCGATCGGCTGTATTATTGTACTGTTGCTATTCTCTATCGCGTGCACAATCATTCTTTCACTTATTCCATTGTATTTGTCCAGTGATGGTTCTAACACCATTAGTTCATTGTCGGCTACCAGTTAGTTTTCATTCATTACTTTTATCATCCATATTTATATCACGTTTCCTAGAAAAATCACTTACTTATCTATCTACCACCTACCTGTTGCCGTCTGGATATCGTCGAAAGCGGGGCGTACAGAGTTTCAGCAACCGTCAACAAACCTCCATTCAGGTATTATTTACTTTTTGCGTTCGTTGTGATACATGTTGTACTTTAGCTGACAGCATCAATAGATGCTACTCAAAATTCTATTTCGATCTTTGGTATGACCTTGTCAGTTGGCAATGGTATGAAAGGCCGTCGCCGTCGCGAGTAAATTAATTATTGAATAGTTTTCTTAGAATTCTAAGTGTCGGTAATTTTCTACATACAGCATTCAATGTGATAGAACTACTCGTTCAGGTAATGCTATTGTTTTTGGAATTGAATTGCGCTCTCCACCAACGGAACCATGTCAAACGTTGATTTGTCAAATCAATCTGTTTAAAAGTATTCACAATAGTTTTAATACTACATCAAATGTTGTCATCACGGCGGACGATGGAACTCCTCTGAACTTAGAACTTTGCCAGGTTAAAAATCTTCCAGATGGCAATGCTCAAACTGATGATAAGCCTATCGTTATCAACGATGGTGAGTACTTCGTTTCTGTCACTATTTTCCGTGAAATTGCACCGATCAGCATGAAATGTAAACGGTATATTGTAATTTAGATAGCTCAGTAACTCATTCAGATGTCACTAGTAGTACCAATACTGTTTTACAATCAACACAAACATCTACAACACTAGTCAGCACATATACAATGACGTCAACAGTATCCACAACAATGACATCAACTATTCTAAACTGCAATAGTGCTACTTGCTGTCATGCTAATAGTTCTTGTGTTTCTTGTATTTATAATGGTGTTTCGGCTTTTTGCTACCATGGTGGGCTTATGAATGCCACTACTTCTGGAGTATATAATACTAGCAGTCTTAGCCAGTGTAATCTGGATGTGAATAATGGTTATAATGCCTATAATTATGCTGTTGCCGTTTGCTGAGGGTAACAAGGAAAGTTGGGATGAATATCTAATATCGCCACAACAAAAAACACTTGAATAGAGTAATCCTTTTAAGTATTTGCTTTTCCGTAGTTATGGTACTAATATTTTCTATTGCGTTATTCGCTATGTTTGTTCTGTTTCTCATTACTTACGTTTTCTTACCTTATAACTTACATTTTCGAATAAAATAAAAAGAGAACATTTAAAGTTTCAACTCTCAATAATCTCAGCCGATAGATATATAAGGATGGATGTGTGTGGGTGTAGGTGAGAACAGTCTCCTTTATTCCTGTGCGTATCATCACTCGACATCCTGTCTTATTCTACAATATATTTTCTTTTCAATAATGTTCACAATATATCGTCCCAATCCGTAGCCAAACAGCAAGATACTCTATAGGGTAGTCAAGGAATTTGTTTGAGTAACCATCTTCTTATCCACTGCCTTCAGATAATCCAACAATTTAATTTGTGAGCTCGTTCGAAACACTATCTCCGTCATCCATTATCCGAACATTATTCATATATTTTGAGTTGCAAATTGTGAGTTAGTTAGCGAAATACATGAGAATATTCGAGTAGAGATCAGTAAGCAAAACGCTATGTGAGGGCGATCGGAACTCTCAATTACACATTACAATATTGTGATTGCAAAACAAATGTTTCTTCAATAACCATGCTAAGGTAGTAAACGCTCGGTAAACATTCTCCTTAGTAGCCTTATGTTTTCCTGGACACAAAAATTAAGAGATATTTATCGAACCTAAACACACGGATCACCGTTGGACAATGATTAACGAAATGGTTACTCGAAGCATACCCGCAAAGAACTGGAATCTACCGATAAGATACCTTACCTCTCTTGACGATGGCATTTGTACTGTTTGCAATCTATCAAAATAATATTTAAAAAATGATATAATGATCATCGAATGAAGAAAAAAGTGAAGACGAACATTGTATACGCTCACAAGTAAAAGATAACAAAATACTATGTGATAAAGCTTTGAAAGTCGTATTACATAATGACACATATACAGTTGGTTACGTCTTCATTTCTAATTGTTTATTAAACAAAAACAAATAACGATGAGTCTATTGAATTAAATACTTTTGTACACGATTATTATTACAATCGACAACATAAAGATGTCCATATCGATCAAAAGATAAACCACGTGGTCCATCTAACATATCATTTTGCCATCCTTCACCTTTTCCACCCACCACAAGTTTTCCTTTAGCTGCTCCTTGTTTCCAACGTATGACTCGATCATTTTGATAATCTGACACATAAACCGTATTAAATGAATCAACAAATATTCCATCTGGATATCGTAAAAGTCTCGCAAGACTTCCTGCTGTACCGTTTCCTGCGACTTGTCTACCTATTCTTGTCTCTTTTTTCCATTGCATTACGCGATGGTTCTCAGTGTCCGAAATAAAAACATTTTGTTGTCGATCCACAAAAATAAAAGTTGGACTATTTAGTTCATGTAATCCTGCACCTGGATTTCCATTACCAGCCACAACAATTTCATTTGTCCCATCAATATCATATCTTTTGACTTGATGATTCTTATTATCAGAAACATAAAGATATCTTTGATGATCGATGGCTAATCCTCCACAGCGAATATTTTGTATGAGAATTTCTCCAGTTTTGCTTGAACTGTTTCTAAACCAGCGAAGAACTCTTCGATTGGATTGATCACAAATGATGAGAAAATTAGATATTCTATCGACTAATACATCAACTGGCTTAGATAATTGATCTAATGCAGTTCCATTTCCTCGACCACCAAATACGACCTGTCCTTCATCATCTCCTTGTTTCCATTGAACAATTCGATGATTGTCACGATCAGCAATGATAAAATTTTGATCATCATCAATGAAAATGCCATGTGGATGATAAACTCGATAAGTCACATTATCTTTCTGTCGACCTCCGATGATAGTTATACCATTCTGTTGCCAATACGCTTTGCCTGGTATATGGGGAATCCCTACAAATTAGAAAGAGAATGTATCACAATTACAATATCGTATCAACGTACTTTTATCGTTAATCAAAAACGACTTTTTACTTGAGGGTGGAATTGGGGTTGATGTCGATGTTGTAGTTTCTTCTAATTTAGACAAAATACTTTTCCCATTGATTTGTTTCATTAATTGCCTATTCTCCGTTTGATTTACTTTTGTCTGTTCTAGTATGGCGATAATAGTCGTTAAATTAATCTTCAGACGATGAATTTCATACTGATTCGAAAGCACAAAATAGATCAAAACAACAAATATCACAAAAGTCAAAAGAGCAAATAATAATAAACGTCTCTTATATAACATTTTTCTCTTCAATTTTGCAGGTGAAACTTCCTTGTTACGATGAATAACAGGTATTTGACTATTTGAACTTGGCGAATGAATGTGATTTAAATTCGTGTTAAAACGGAACGAAATGATCAATTTAGTGTCTTACTCGATGAAAAAGTGATTCCATCTCCTTCCTCTTGATCTGCAGTCAATGCTTCGAACAGGGGTGGCATAATAACTGATAAACTTTGTGCAGATTGATTCAACATATTTCGATTTAAATGTTCTGAAGTTGCAAAAGAAGTATTTTGATGTCAAATAAAACGAAAATTAATTGACCTTTCAATAGTTTCGCAGCGTCAAAACAACGGATTTGATCGAAAGCTTCGATGAGATAAGTAAAATCTTCTTCATTGATTTTATCTTGATCAAATAGTGAATCCATTAGATTGAGAGTTCCGCCAAGTGTTGGATCATCTCGAATTCGTCGTGGAACATCGTTACCAAGATAGAAATGAAGTCGTTTCCGATCATCATTCGAAAGACGATCTTGTAAATTCAAAATTATCGCACGCAAACGAACATTATCCATCGTCTACGAACGCTAATAGATAAATCAAATTTCTATCGATTTTTACTTTAATATTTTCAGATAAACGTTATGTGTTTTAGCAGGGAAAAAAGAGAGATAATATCGACTGAATTGCTGTCGAAGTAGCTTGTTTTTTCAGTACATAATTGCTCGTTCTCTTTGTGTTATTCGAGGAAAAAGAAAAAATAGTGTTGATATTTCTTTATGTGTTGACGTTTTGTCTCGATAAAGTTTTCCCATTTCTATTCCCATACATAAGCAAATAAATCAAAATCTTTATATTTAGACTTATGGAACAGAAACATCAATCTCGTCTGTATTTTCTCCACTATATCGTAATTCAATTATTACAAATGATCTTATCTTCTCTGTCATCGTTTTTGAAGAATTTATGTGTATATCCAAACATTCTTGAGGACGAGGATTCGTAATCGGATGTAGTTTTTGATCGAGAGGGAAATTTTTATATGCGTAAGACTTCAACTGATTGATTTCGGAAGTTTCTGATTCGTAAAAATTTTTCTTCTTCGACATTTCATATGAATAAAATTTGAATATAAAAATAAATGTTATTCATACCATCAACTTTGTTTTATAACGATTTAACCTTTATTTTCGATATATTTGTATTTACTTTGATTAATCATATGTCAATGATTTGAATTATAAATGAATTTATTACGAGAAAAATCCGAAAATCAAATCTTGATAATCGTGTCTTTTATATGTAAATGATTAATCTAACGATGACAATTCCTACTAACATAATCATATTAAACGTTGTTAATTTTGTCGCATCACATGTTGAATCGACATCACCAGCAGCACCAACAATTGGACAATTGCCAAGAAAATTTGTTGAACATGAAACTCGATTACACGTGACATCGTTGCAAAGAAGACTTAAATCAAACGATTGATTTGTCGATCCAACGGATGTTGAAGCATCACAACCACTTGATGTACAACATTTACAAACACATCGAGTGGTTGAAGTCAATTCAACACAAAACATTAAAAAGATACAAAATGTATAGAAAGATTTCATCGGTTTGCGATCGAAGAAAAAGTAATGAGAAAAATATGTATGTAAATGACAATTGAATAGAAATTATATATCCTCGATGGAAAGAAAGAAAAGAAAAGGAACGATTATGAGTAATATATGTGAAGCAATTAATGGATATAAAAGTGCGATAGAAAGTTTATTCGATAACGAGATTTGAATCGATTTCTCGTTATATATTGTGCGTCAAAAATGACATATGATCGAAAAAGATATTATATATCAATGAAATATATCGACGTAAATCAAATGAATCTTTTTTTATTTGTTCCACCTTACTGATTCACCGAGAAAAGCGATATGTATTCGTAACATCAACATTGGTTATCACTAATCTCACCAAAAAATCTTCGACTACTGTCATAATAGTAACCATTATCTGTAGAATTAATAATTGGAATATTATTGATGGTTTGCTAATCGAGAATAGGAAATATTGTAATACCTAAGGATAATACATCTTATTTTCAGTATTAGTTTACTCGAAATTTTGTTTCAAGTAAACATTTTAAACAATTTCCAATAATTACTGAGTTTCATAACATGTCAGCGGAAGATCAGGAGTATTATAAGATATGAATTCTATTCTGTTCAAATTCTATATCGTTTCTTCAAAACATCATCATCATACACAAGATGTCTCTAATTGTTTTATACTACGCATAGATACCATGGTGGTTAAATCAACTATAAAACAATGAATTATTATAATTCTTGACTTGTATATCACACCCAGAAAACAATGAAAAATAAGATCATTAACAATACAAGGTGCATCTCTTATTTTTATTTATTTATATTTTACTCAGTTTTCTTTTGATACACTCGTATCCAATCAGTCACCATTAACTGTGGCCAAACAGTAGTGTTATCAGGTGGTCCAGGCCATTCGCCACCAATTCCGATGTTAATTATCATATAGAATGGCCATTTTCCACTAAACGCCCAGACGGGATTGATAGATTCAGGCAGATTGGTCGTATTAATTCGCGAATAGATAAATTCATTAACACCAATTGTAATTTGTTCTGGTGTCCATTCAGTCCAATACACCAGACTATGATTGTGAAGCATTGAATCATCGGGTGTTTTCCATTGTTGATGAATTTGTTTGTTAAAAACAGGTTTCATTGTATTGGATTGATTATTCCAATGAACGGTTCCATGTGCATATTGATCGGTAAGATTTACACTTACATTATTTCCTCCTACCATTTCTAAAATATCATTTTCACCGCATGTTGGCCATTTTAATTTATATTTATCTGCATTGCCCAATAACCACCATGCTGGCCAAATTCCTTTACCATAGGGTAATTGAATTTTTGCAGCCCATATTCCAAAAGTGAATTCCTGTAGGTTTTTACTTGCATACATACCTGATGTTAATCCTTCTTTTAATGCGACAAGAGTGAATTTACCGTCTTGAACATATGCATTGAAGATTGAATTAGTGAAATTTTGTAAACCTCCATCAATGTGCATGCCAACAATTGGAGCCCAGTTTTTTGGATTGGGTGCATAAGCAGGTTTCCCATTGATAAAAGCTTTCACTGGACCAACATTTTCGAAATCATCTTGAAAAACGAGTTCGTAATCTTGGCCAGGATTGAAAGTAAAATTTGATGGATCCCAACTAACGACAAAATAGACATTGTTAAAAATAACAATGAATAGAAAGAAAATAATGAAATGTAACATGAGAATGATTGAAGAGACATTACTTTTCTACTGTTTTTATATGGATCAAATGGGAGTAAAGAAGAAGAAGCCATTACAAATAATAAAAGAAGCAATTACAGTCAAGATAGAAGGAGTAGCTGTCTAATTCAACTTATAATATAAGTGCTGAATTGCTGATACACTCAAATATTCATATAGATATGGATATGAATAGATTTAGTTATAATTATACCTTCAGATTATTATGTGATATCATCTAAATTGTGCTTTCATTCTTTTACATACCCGATAAACAAGAGGAAACGTGTATTGATAAGACTTTTTTAACGTAGATCAATGAAAGCATAATAATTATCGAATCTGTGAACAAATGTTCATGCAAAAACCATTTGCGGAAGGACAGATGTGAGTTTGCTTATCTCTAAACGCTTTTATAAAAGCGCTTTATGTTGATATATGTGTATGATGTCCATGTATCGTGTAGAAAGATCCTAAATTAGAATTCCAATTCTACCTAGAAATAAATGCGCAAACTACAGATTTTATCCGAGAGTTAGGTGTACTGAAAAATGTGTATCAGATAGAAAACATAACGAATCATAGAGAAATATTAACTTCTTTTTTTAATAATCCACAACTCCTTCGTCCAATCGATCTTATTTTTGAGCTCTAGCGAGATTTTTCTGTTATCATACATTATCATCAATTTCATCTCAATCATACTAGTCTCTCTTGAGTTATCGTATAAACGGATGAAGAGCATTGCCTATTTCTAGTAATTCGTTCATACTTTCAGTCTGCTACTGCGGTAAGATGCTTCAAATCTGTTCTCTGCAGCGTGTTGTTGGCACTTGAACTGTGTTCGATTAAAGCCCATATTCAATTAAAATAGGAGCTGCTGTTGAATGGATTTCTGCATTTCACAGCAACTAGCACGTTGAGGATGATCCATTTAACGCCAACGACAGTAACGATGATTTGGGTGACTTTCACCCAAGCCTACTTAGGGGTGTACCAAAAGTTCTGAGCCGAACTTTGAAAGTATGCTGTCAATTAAGAAGAACTATTTGAAATTGAGAAATGAGATATACCATTCTGTAGAACAAGTCAAAACGCATCGAATGGTATATATCAAATCTGATTTTCGAAAGACTTTACTGAAACTAAAGTCATTTTACGAGTAAACGACCATGTAATGAAAAGTACTATCAGTTATCAATCATTAAGAGTCTTGATGTCATTGAAAAGTATTTCTATACAGTTTTGTAGAGTTTTTCACGGACTACTAGTTGATATACTTGTTATCTCCAATCATTCTATTTCTCATAGAAATTCAATACTCTATTATTGTTTTTGTATGTACTAGAAATTTTTGAATATATGCTCGTCTATTAGTAAATTGACTCTAGTTCCACTAAATTCTTACGAAGATCAGATTGAATATATGTCATTCGACGCGCCTTGATTTACTCTACGCAATGGTATATTTAATTTTTCAATCGCGAATAACTCTTCTTATCCGACTCGGTCTTTTAATTGGGCTCAGAACTTGTGGTACACCCTAAGTATATCCAAAAACCGTGGTTTTCTCATGAAACGTCTCTTAAAAATAATCATAGACCATTATATAAAATTGTACATTTTAAACTTTTCTACTAAGTTATTCTCAGTTTATATCAAAAAATGCCATTTCAGGAGCATTTCTGATCGTAACACACAGGATTCTTTGAATTGTTTGTCCTTAATCAATAATTGAAGATACATTAAAAAATATCATCAAAGTGAATTTATAGCGACTCTAAACGATATTAAAATCTTGCAAAAATGAAACGTTCTCAAGATGATACTTTATTTTAGTTGTCAGAATGGATATTTTTTAAATTATATTCAATAATTTCAATAATGGTATATACATATTGAGAGTATAGAATCCCTATTTATGTAATTAGTTATTCTTTAATTTCACAACGAACTTCGAAGCAAAATTGAAGTTTTATCACGGATTGAAAAAATACATTTTTGAAAGTAAAATCATTATAAGATAGTAGGTTTTTAAAAGAACTATTATTTTACATATGAGGAGAATAACAACACTGAATAAGAGAATAAATCTATATATGATTTATGACTACTTGTGACTTTTCCACCTTCTTTGACAATGATTTCAATTTAAAAATGCAATTTAAAAGAAAGCTTATAGTTGCTGATTTTTACAGAAACTTCTTGTTTACTTTCATGACTTTGGAATACATATCGCTACAATTCTTGTTATTAGTATTTCAGAGAATGAAAGAAAAAAAAGAAACTTTCTTTCTCTTGTTTTCTTTTTCGTTAATTATAACGTTATTTTACTTTTCTAATTTATAAGAATATGTTTTTCTACTATAATGATAAAAATTCAAGAAGGAGGATAAAGATCTATTATTTCATTCATTTATGAATATCGATTACAGTAAAATGAAAATAAAAATATTTTGCCATATTCTATATTTTAAAACTCATATTTATTTCGAATATACAAAAAGTTGATGATTCAAAATTGCATTTAATTCGCAATTATCTTTTCTCAATGTCATATTATCTTCTATTGTTTACACAAACTTGTCATTACCAATTCTAAGTAAATTATACGAAGTAAAATGATGACAGATGGCAATGAAATAGAAGTTTCCAGGAATATTTGCATAAAATGTATAGAATTTAAATAAAGAAATTCGAATATATTAATTAATGGAACAATCATTTTCATTACTGAAAGATAAAGAAACAAATTGAAAGTAGATCAATAATTATCAGATCTTTTACTTTATAATTGCACGAATATCAATACTATGATTCAAAATAATCTTAATAACATAGAATTGACGAAAACATGAAAATAAAAAGTTTAACAAGACATTGATAACTAAATTATTATCAGCATTTAACATAGTTGTATTTGTGCATTTGACAGATATAATACTCATTTTGTAATAAGATATAATGTTTTGTATTTATTTGTTTAGTTTGAGAATTTCTTTTTGTTCAAACAATTAACAATACCAAGACATAGAACTTCACTCACATTGTTCATTAGTGAAGGAAAAGTAACCTATTTTCATAGTTGGATTGCTTCAGAATATTTAAAAACTAGTAGAATATTTTTCGCATAACATATTGTTATTTGATAGAGGATAGCATTAAGAAAAGCATGACTTCTATTGTTTCATTTCATTGATGAAGCGAGTAAAAGACTGAATATTAAGTGAATTAGAGAGAAAGAGAGAGAGAGAGGAAAAGAAATAAATAAAAGAACTTTCATCACCAATAGATGCTTTTATTTTCATTTTAAAGTACGTACTATTCATTTACTCAGACAATTTAAAGTGTGACCAAAACTATGATTTGGACAAGAATATTTGCATTTTTTTCGGCAGTTATTTTTGATCTAGTCTTTACACAAAATACCAATTCAATTTTGATGAATATTATGAATGGATGGCAATTTCAATGTGCTACAACAACTTGTTTACCATATGCTACGGTTACTATATACAGTATTTTTCAGTGTCAAAGTAGTTGTTTACGACAAAGTCAATGCATGGCTATTACTTTTCGTCAATCGATTTCTAAATGTCAATTGTTTACTAATGATATAGAGCAAAACAGCAGTTTGGAAACAGCTGTAAATACGGTTACCGTGAGAGTTATTCCTGGCACACGAATACCATCTGGTAAACATCGATTCAATATAATATAAAATACATGAGCTAGAAAATTTTTTCATGAGCCTCGATTTTTAATTTGTGAAGATCTCAAACAATCCTATATGCATTCATGTGTACCTTTGTTGCGTTCTCAGAACTTAAAACATAATAATGAAAATGAATGATTCTGCTAAGGCCAGGCATGAATTGAGATAAGGATGAGATTGCGAGCAAAGAAAATATATTGACTTGCTCCCCCTATGGACATCATCCTCCCAAGATTCAAATATTTCTAATATTCTTGACTAGGAGTTAAGCATATCTCAAATAAATTGAATGAATAAGTTTGAGACATACTTCGTCATTTAGTTTCTCTCGTTTAATTAATTTATTTTTCACAAAACAGAATCCATCACCACATCAACTTCAACAACAACAACAACATCATCATCATCATCGACCTCAGCAACAAAATCAACGTCATCATCGACCTCAACAACAACATCGTCATCGTCATCATCGACCTCAACAACAACAACAACAACGTCATCAACGTCATCATCGACCTCAGTAACAACACTAACTACCGGTATGTAACTGAATAAATTAAGTGTTGTTTGCTACACATCGCAAAGAATATCAAAGCACTTTATACAAAAAGTAGTTATTTAACAGCTAATGAGAAGAAATTAGTTCGCCGTTTTTGCAATGAATTCGATGTTAAAGATCAAATTTTCAGAAAAGCTCCGAAATACATTAATCAAAAATCTTATCAGACACGCAACTTTCTTTAAGGTGCTTAGAAGAAAAACGTTTAAACTTGTTGATCATTTATAGCCTCGAATTCATCACGTTGAACAGACTATTCATAGACATAAAAACTTCCAAAGACAGTTAGTATTCATCAGTTCTTTTCTTTGTAGTTATAGATATTCTTCTCACATATTTACACTACACTGCTCTATGCATTCGAAAATGAACTGATCAGATATTAGAAAAATGAATCTAATTTAGTAATATTTTTAATCATCATCGAAATGTCATCTCAGTTTTTAAGGCTAAAGCTAACTTGAAAATAATAATCATTATAAACGTTCGACGTTAAAAATCGTTCCAGCTTTAAAAAAAAAACCTATTGATTAGACTTTTATTTCTAATTTTTTTCCCATACAATTCTATATATATATATATAAAGTTGTTGAGTTCGAATTCTTATTTCTTCGCAAATACACAATCATCCTCACATTTGAAATTTTGACATTGATCATGATTAGAAGTAAAATAATAAAAATTCTTGCCAAAATAAATTTCAGACTAACGATCGCTAGTTGCTTTTAGATTGTCTATTCATTTGCATCTGTAGCTATCTTTTCAAAAGTAGGATCGTGTTCTTAGTTCAAACAGTGTTTCTTTTCTAAAATATTGATTTGAGAACATCATTTTATATTCAATTGATGATTTCGTCAGATTATCTTTCCTTTAAAAACTGAATATCTCATGTTTTAAGAATATTATGATTATCAACAATAGTATTTCTCGTAAATGAAATATGTATGGTTCCAGAAAAGAAAAGTCATGATCACTTATTTCGTAGATATTTGCAGATATGTATAAGAATCAACAAAGGAAGATGATACAAAGTGAGAAGTAATTAATCACTTTTAATGATTTTTACCTCTTTATTTAATAAAACCAGTATGTATAGTACCGCCTAGTAATCGAAATCACCAGTTAGACTTGAGAAAAACTGTCAAAAGGCTTTTCTTTTACCTATTTTGATATATTTTTGTATTATTTTTCTCTCTTTTCTCCGTATAATGTATGGATATAACTTGTCTGTAAGTATTGGGGAGTACAAGTTAAATACCAGTAATGCAACTAAACGTCGCTAAGCCTTTCATCAAAAGAAACATTCATTCAACAATATTTAACAAATCCATCAAGGTCCCGCAAATAGTCTTTTCTTTGTTCGAATTGTCTTATATTTATTTCGAAAAGCATATAGATAAACTCGAATCAATAGTACTGACAACGGGACATCAGTACAGAACTGTAAAAATATGTAATAATACATTCAAGAAAATGAGTGATTATACTTAAGATAAATAATCATTACAATCACAAATAAGAGGTCACTTTTTTTCTCTTAAGAAATAAAGATACGTTTTCTAGGTCGGAAAAACCAACTAGTTGTCACGCACAGATGGAGAAAGCTTTGTGACGAGAAAAATTAATAAAATATTATCAAAAAATAGAAAGTATAATACGAACAAGTTATAAAAATGCGCAAGTACTGACGTTCTTTGTTTGCGATGGATTTGAATTGTATTTCTCGTTTACAATACATCAAGAAAGACAATTTACATGTGAACTACGAGAAAAATCCTTCTTGAATGTTATATCACTTCATTTTGTACCAAATAGGTAAAAATGATTGTAGAAAAGTTTCCTTTGGTGACTGAAACTAATGTATGCGCGCTGCACAACTATGTTAGCATTGCTTATATAGTAGGAAAAGAATCGATTCTTCACCACGAAACGTCGACTTTATAACCATTAAAGCGTTCTCCTTTGAAACGCTAAAAAAAACATGAAATTTTGTAACAGATAGTATTTAGAACTTTTTTCTTCTTGTGCAATTATGTTTGTCAAAAAGTAAGCTGTTATTTAAAAAGTTTATGAAAATCTGAATAATTTGTGCGCTAAAGTACTTATTTACATATGGCTTCATACGGACTATGCGGAAACCGAAATTTCATCATGCTTGTAATGATTAAATGTGGCTAATTTGCGGAAATATTTATATTTCCGATCGATAAATAATACAGAAGGATTTTGTTCATTTTTATGTAATATCAAAGAAAAATGTTTTTACTTACATCTGTGTTAAGGTATATCATCGGACAATCATTTATACTCTAGAGATTTCTAAATATCATTATTAGACCATTTAGGAACGAGTGTTATACTGAGATGAATTATTTCACACATATTCGAAAAGCAGCATGACTATATGACTATACTTGTTCTAAACAAAATGAACCACTATCCGGTCATTCGTCGATCTATTTCTTATCGACTATTTACGGCTAGTTGCTGGTTCGTTTAATCAAAGTGTACAGGCAATAGTCGTCGAAATCGTAATCTACAGTACTAATCAGCTTTTTATTTACACAAGTTGCAAAAGCTCAGCAGAGATCAGTATTTGTCGGCTCCGATTACCCTTTGATCATTGTTTATAAAATATGTTTTCTTTTATTAAAAATGCTCGTTTGTCTTCAAAGATATAACGCAGATTTTTTTGCAGAAAAACTTATCTCAAATTCGAGTTCCTTGGTTTCGATTACTTCTTAGTTAAGCTTTATACCATACCCACAGTCAGTACACAATAATTGAAGAAGGTAACGAAAGAACTTACGAACAGATATCAGCTCAATGCATTCCCTTCGTTGGAGTGAAAGGAAGAAAGAAAGTTTAACTAACGTATATTCTCCGTAGTTATTTAGCTTTGTTTTTAAAAAGAAAATCAATACATAAATTTGATCAGTTATAAGTCTATTATTATTTGTCCTGTATTAATTATAATGTGATATTAACCGTTAGTTAACTTCGAACAACTAAGAAAGTGATAAAAACAGTCGTTATCTATTTCAAAAATATCTCTGTGAATGTATGCGTCCGTAATTTTCTTTCAACTCTTTTTCTTCAATAGATGTTAACATATTATCTTATTTGGAAGTAAACTTAGAAAGTACAGTCTAAATATTTCTTTTCAACACTCCTTTTCCCATACTCTCAACCTGTTCTCTGATTAAAATTTCAGTGTTGTAGTCTTCAGATTTCATTTTCCATAGCAATGGAGGAAAATTCACTTGAATCACTGATAATAATGGTCTTTCTCAATCACATCATGGTGTCAAACACTCTTTTAAAGCGTTGGTTTCAATATTATAAAGCTTTGTTTTTAGTATACACTAATTTTCAATAGGTTTATAAGTCGCAATCTACTAGATCGTATAACCAGAGAATTAAATAAAAACTGAATCGTCAACAATTGAGCAAGCACTACATTCTTCCGTTTAAAAAACGTCGGCGCATGTTTTCTTCTGGGATTATATCACTCACAAATGGATTTCGAGTCTGCCAAGACTTTTAAGCGATCCTACATAGCTCCTCGAAATGTAACGTTTCCCCTCGAACTGATGAACAAACAGTCGACTAATTTTGAGAAGCTATATCCTTGATTCCCTGGAAATCACGCATCCTTTAAGCTAGTTTCATCAATCATCACAGTTATCATGGATTCAGATCTTTAGTCGAAATCGATTCATTGCACAATCTAGTCATACATTGTGAAAGACTTTTCTCCATGAATCCCAGCTAAGAAGTTAAACGCGTTCGCCATTGCAGAATATATTTGACTATAACTCCTTTCCCGAAACGAAGCAACCTCCTTACAAAAACCCCTGTCACTTCACATGATTTCAAAATGAGGGCAACTACGTCCCACGGCATTTTGTTGTTTATCAACATACGTACCGAATCATGACACTGAAAGCTCGAGATTAACAACTACACCTAGAAAGTACACCAAAAACCATTATTTTCCAAAGTTCTTCCGCGAATTTCACATTAACATTAACTCCCATTATATTTGTGCACTTTTCAACTTTTCGCAGCATACACCAGCACCTACTTCGTTGCGCTCACTTTTCCAACCGGCAATGGCACACGATCAGTTACGATCGTTGACGTTAACAATGACACCAAACCAGATATAATTACGGCAAATTATGATGAGAAGACCGTTAGTGTTCTTCTCAATGCAGGTAATGGCATATTTTCTAATCAAACTACCTATGCAACTGCCGCTGCCCCAACTGCAGTCGCCGTCGCTGATATTAATAACGATGGAAAACCTGATATAGTTACGGCGAATCCTGCTGAAAGCACAGCTACTGTTCTTCTCAATGCAGGTAATGGCATATTTTCTTCACAAACTGCCTATGTAACTGGCTCGTATCCATACTCAGTTGCTGTCGTTGATGTTAACAGCGATGCAAAACCTGATATAATTACCGCAAATTATAATGCAAACACAGTTAGTGTTCTTCTCAATACAGGTACCGGTACATTTTCTCCTCAAACTTCATACGCAACTGGTCAGTATCCATCCTCAGTTGCTGTTGCTGACGTCAACAACGACGCAAAACCTGATATAGTTACAGCAAATAGTGGTCCCAGTACAGTTAGTGTTCTTCTCAATACAGGTACCGGTACATTTTCTCCTCAAACTTCTTATGCAACTGACACTAACCCCGTATCAGTTGCGATCGCCNACGGCAATATCAAGTAGATAATCGCCATTGAAATCAACGATAGTCACCATACATGGGGTAGACAACATCCCAGTGGAATAAGTGGCTGGCTTTGCGAAACTGCCGTTACCGTGACCAAAAACTATATCAATATTATCTGTCGCGTGATTCGCTACAACAATATCCATCCAAGTGTCGTTGTTGAAATCTCCAGCAGTAACTGACTGTGGACGATAATTGTATTCGATTGGCAAAACCCTCGTTGAAGCAAATCGCATTGCACATTTAGCAGCTGAAAATCGCAAGAACAATAACGAGAGTAATTATAACTTCATTGAACTGAAAAATGCAAAAAATATAAGGACATACCAGTCGGTTTTTGTATAGTAAAACAAACTATCAACACACTCATGGGTATCACTATACTCAAACACACAATAGATATAAACAAACGAAGCGTGCAGAAAGTCAGTATGAATCGGAAGCAAAATTTTCTAAAACAATAGAATAAATGTTATATGAAACGTGTCAAATAAACAATGCAGACATTTTTTCAGGAGTTGTGAGGGGTCTTGTTGTCTTTGCCGAATGAGGAATAAATTTCACACAAACATTTGTATCAAAAGCCATTTTCGTATTCATATTTCCATTAACAATATCAGAAGTTTTTACCACAATTGGCCGATTCATCGAAATTATCTCACGATCCACAGAAGTGATTTTAATCTATGAATAAAGATTAACGATGATAATCAATGATACATAGTCAAGATTATCATATCTGATATTTATACAGAACGATGTGTGACATCGACAACTAAGTATAAAAATTCGAAATATATTCTTGTTTACATATCCGATTGTCTTCTAATAGATGAAAATGTGATTATGGATATTGTTTATTCACAATCGAATATCAATGCTTGTAGACAGGACAATGAAAACAAAAGAAATCTCACACGCTTGTATAATTTTTGATAGACGTTTCATTGATGTTTAATTAATCTTGTACCTTTTGTAATTATAAAAAAGAACAATACATAAAAGATTCAATAGACTGACAGTGATAGTTCTCTAGGCAAAAAATCAACTCGTATATGTCTCGAGGAAATGTTGCATATGCGATGCCATACGCTTTCAAATAATTTCTCAACCAAATCGATGCGAACAATGAGAAGAATGAAATCATCTACATGTATTTTGTTAATATAAAAAAATTGATTTATGTGCCGCTTTTTTTCCCACACAAATAAAATATGTATTGATGACCATAAAACTAATATAATCACCGTCTCTCTAATCGAATTGTCTACTTATTTATTTATCGTCGAGGACAAAAACAACGTACTCAGCTACCTATTATCGTGACATTGAGAAAAAAGGTGAAAAATGTACTTTTTCTGTTTATTTCTTTAATTTTATCCATATCGACAGTTAGAAGATATATCCGGTAGGTTTTTATTACCATCAGAGTTCTATGGTATCACACGATAAGTACTGTTGTTTATTAAAGCTATTTTAGTTTTGTATTCGTGGACGAGTATATAATGTTTATTTTATCATCCAACATTAATATAAACATGTATCTTTAGATGTACAGAATGAATGAGAGAGAAGAATCTATGACCATTTTCCAAGGTGAAAGAAATCTAACAACAGATTTGATAAGACTTTGCAAGATCCGATTATCCTGTATAATTCGATGGGATCTTTAGTGACGAATGTGCGTCATATTCCGGCGGCAAGGTTTTTGACGAGCTATCATAAATTATATGAGCGTTACTTGTAGATGTATATTGTATTATAGGTTTAAGTAATTATCGGATTGATCGGACACCGTTCGGAATGATTTTCTCATCGAGAATTTTGATAGAATCTAGTAATGGATTCGATGACGAAATTAGTACGTCTAGGTCGAAACAACCTTAGATGAACTTAGAAAGTAAAAAGAATTGCAAGACACAATTAAATCGCGCGATAAGCACAGTTTCTTCTTCTGTTACCGATTCATCTCCGATAGTTACGAAAGAATTTCGAAATTTTCGTAGTCAGTCATGTAAATGCCAATTATGTATCGTAAAATTATTCAGATAATTGACATTTGTCTAGAAATATTTTCCTCTAAAAATGATAAATATTCAAGTCCACTTTCTCGTACTGTACACAGATCGTTTAGCGTTCTACCTTGTAGTGTGTTTTATTTTCGATACATTGTGCTGATTAGTAGTGGAATATGACTGGAAAATCGAATAAAAGATCGTTTGTCTGTTTTTTTTTAAAGGTATCGCCATCATTACCTTTCGATAAGCTTGAATACATCTTGATATTCATTATTTTTATTATAAATGACAAAACTTGGTGCTTAGATAGATGTGTAAGAAGTTAGTTTAACAAAAGCATCCGCAGACTTTAGAGGTACAGTTATAAAAGCAGTGTAATGAAAAGTTTCGAGTAAGATCTCTTCAGCTATATCTTTAAAGTTGATTTCAAAGAAGCAACGTAACGCAATTTCTAGAAGGAAATTCATTTAGATTTTTTCTCTTTATCTCAACTATTCGTTTCACAACACATTCGAACTATGGCTCATGTGAGTTTATCACATTTTCGAAGATCAATTATGGTTCTTTCTAATAAACATTTATTATCTTTTATCAGTTAAATCTTTATTCGATCGGTTGTATTATTGTACTGTTGCTATTCGCTATCGCGTGCACAATCATTCTTTCACTTATTCCATTGTATTTGTCCAGTGATGGTTCTAACACAATTAGTTCATTGTCGGCTACCAGTTAGTTTTCATTCATTACTTTTATCATCCATATTTATATCACGTTTCCTAGAAAAATCACTTACTTATCTATCTACCACCTACCTGTTGCCATCTGGATATCGTCGAAAGCGAGCCGTACAGAGTTTCAGTGACCGTCAACAAACCTCCAGTCAGGTATTATTTACCTTTTGCGTTCGTTGTGAATACATATTGTACTTTAGCTGACAGCATCAATAGGTGCTACTCAAAATTCTATTTCGATCTTTGGTATTACCTTGTCAATTGGTAATGGTATGAAAGGCCGTCGTCGTCGCGAGTAAATTAATTATTGAATAGTTTTCTTAAAATTCTAAGTGTCGGTAATTTTCTACATACAGTATTCAATGTGATAGAACTACTCGTTCAGGTAATGCGCTTGTTTTTGGAGTTGAATTGCGCTCTCCACCAACGGAACCATGTCAAACGTTGATTTGTCAAATCAATCTATTTAAAAGTATTCACAATAGTTTTAACACTACATCAAATGTTGTCATCACGACGGACGATGGAACTCCTCTGAACTTAGAACTTTGCCAGGTTAAAAATCTTCCAGATGGCAATGCTCAAACTGATGATAAGCCTATCGTTATCAATGATGGTGAGTACTTTATTTCTGTTACTCTTTTCCATGAAATTGCACCGATGAGCATGAAATGAAAACGGTCTATTGTAATTTAGATAGCTCAGTAACTCATTCAGATGTCACTAGTAGTACCAATACTGTTTTACAATCAACACAAACATCTGCAACACCAGTCAGCACATATACAATGACGTCAACAGTATCTACAACAATGACATCAACTATTCTAAACTGCAATAGTGCTACTTGCTGTCATGCTAATAGTTCTTGTGTTTCTTGTATTTATAATGGTGTTTCAGCTTATTGCTACCATGGTAGACTTATGAATGCCACTACTTCTGGAGTATATAATACTAGCAGTATTAGCCAGTGTAATCTGGATGTGAATAATGGTTATAATGCTTATAATTATGCTGTTGCCGTTTGCTGAGGGTAACAAGGAAAGTTGGGATGAATATACAATATCGCCACAACAAAATTTGAACTCACAATTCAACAAAAAACATTTGAATAGAGTAATTCTTTTAAATATTTTCTTTTCTGTAGTTATGGTACTAATATTTTCTATTGCATTATCCGCTATGTTTATTCTATTTCTCATTACTTACTTTTTCTTACCTTATAACTTACATTTTCGAATAAAATAAAAAGAGAACATTTAAAGTTTCAACTCTCAATAATCTCAGCTGATAGATATATAAGGATAATGATGTTTTGTTTTTCAAGGATGAGGGTGTGGGTGTAGGTGAGAACAGTCTTCTTTATTCCTATGCGTATCATCACTCGACATCCTGTCTTATTCTATAATGTATTTTCTTTTCAATAATGTTCACAATATATCGTCCCAATTCGTAGCCAAACAGCAAGATACTCAACCGGGTAGTCAAGGAATTTATTTGAGTAACCATCTCCTTATCTACTGCTTTCAGATAATCCAACCATTTAAATTTGTGAGCTCGTTCGAATCACTATCTCCGTCATCCATTATCCGAACATTATTCATATATTTTGAGTTGCAAATTGTGAGTTAGTTAGCGAAATACATGAGAATATTCGAGTAGAGATCAGTAAGCAAAACACTATGTGAGGGCGATCGGATCTCTCAACTACACATTACAATATTGTGATTGCAAAACAAATGTTTTTTCAATAACTGTGCTAAGGTAGTAAACGCTCGGTGAACATTCTCCTGAGTAGCCTTATGTTTTCCTGAACATAAAGATTAGGAGATATTCATCGAATCTAAATACATGGATCATCGTCGGACAATGATTAATGAAATGGTTACTCGAAGCATACCCGCAAAGAACTGGAATCTACCGATAAGATACCTTACCTCTCTTGATGGCGGTATTTGTACTGTTTGCAATCTATCAAAATAATATTAAAAAAATGATATAATGATCATCGAATGAACAAAAAAGTGAAGACGAACATTGTATACGCTCACAAGTAAAAGATAAGAAAATACTATGTGATAAAGCTTTGAAAGTCGTATTACATAATGACATATATACAGTTGGTTACGTCTTCATTTCTGATTGTTTATTAAACAAAAACAAATAACAATGAATCTATTATTGAATTAAATACTTTTGTACACGATTATTATTACAATCGACAACATAAAGATGTTCATATCGATCAAAAGATAAACTACGTGGTCCATCTAACATATCATTTTGCCATCCTTCACCTTTTCCACCCACCACAAGTTTTCCTTTAGTTGCTCCTTGTTTCCAACGCATGACTCGATCATTTTGATAATCTGACACATAAACCGTATTTAATGAATCAACAAATATTTCATTTGGATATCGTAAAAGTCTCACAAGACTTCCTGCTATACCATTTCCTGCGACTTGTCTCTTTTTTCCATTGCATTATGCGATGATTCTCAGTGTCCGAAATAAAAACATTTTGCTGTCGATCCACAAAAATAAAAGTTGGACTATTTAGTTCATGTAATCCTGCACCTGGATTTCCATTGCCAGCCACAACAATTTCATTTGTTCCATCAATATCATATCTTTTGACTTGATGATTCTTATTATCAGAAACATAAAGATATCTTTGATGATCGATGGCTAATCCTCCACAGCGAATATTTTCTATGAGAATTTCTCCAGTTTTGCTTGAACTATTTCTAAACCAGCGAAGAACTCTTCGATTGGATTGATCACAAATGATGAGAAAATTGGATATTCTATCGACTAATACATCAACTGGCTTAGATAATTGATCTAATGCAGCTCCATTCCCTCGATCACCAAATATGACCTGTCCTTCATCATCTCCTTGTTTCCATTAAACAATTCGATGATTGTCACGATCAGCAATGATAAAATTTTGATCATCATCAATGAAAATACCATGTGGATGATAAACTCGATAAGTCGCATTATCTTTCTGTCGACCTCCGATGATAGTTGTACCATTCTGTTGCCAATACGCTTTGCCTGGTATATGGGGAATCACTACAAATTAAAGAGAATGTATCATAATTACAATATCATATCAACGTACTTTTATCGTTAATGAAAAACGACTTTTTACTTGAGAGTGGAATTGGGGTTGATGTCGATGTTGTAGTTTCTTCTAGTTTAGACAAAATACTTTTTCCATTGATTTGTTTCATTAATTGTCTATTTTCCGTTTGATTTACTTTTGTCTGTTCTAGCATGGCGATAATAGTCGTTAAATTAATCTTCAAACGATGAATTTCATACTGATTCGAAAGCACAAAATAGATCAAAACAACAAATATTGCAAAAGACAAAAGAGCAAATAATAATAAACATCCCTTATATAACATTTTTCTCTTCAATTTAGCACGTGAAATTTCCTTGTTACGATGAATAACAGGTATTTGACTATTTGAATTTGGCGAATGAATATGATCTAAATTCGTATTAAAATCGAACGAAATGATCATTTTAAGTACCTTACTCGATGAAAAAGTGATTCCATCTACTTCCTCTTGATCTGCAGTCAATGCTTCGAACAGAGGTGGCATGATAACTGATAAACTTTGTGCAGATTGATTCAACCGATTTCGATTTAAATGTTCTGAAGTTACAAAAGAAGTATTTTGATGTCAAATAAACGAAAATCAATTGACCTTTCAATAGTTTTGCAGCATCAAAACAACGGATTTGATCGAAAGCTTCGATGAGATAAGTAAAATCTTCTTCATTAATTTTATCTTGATCAAATAGTGAATCCATTAAATTGAGAGTTCCGCCAAGTGTTGGATCATCTCGAATTCGTCGTGGAACATCGTTACCAAGATAGAAATGAAGTCGTTTCCGATCATCATTCGAAAGACGATCTTGTAAATTCAAAATTATCGCACGCAAACGAACATTATCCATCGTCTACGAACGCTAATAGATAAATCGAATTTCTATCGATTTTTACTTTAATATTGTCTCGATAAAGTTTTCCCATTTCTATTCCCATACATAAGCAAATAAATCAAAATCTTTATATTTAGACTTATGGAACAGAAACATCAATCTTGTCTCTATTTTCTCCATTATATCGTAAGTCAATTATTACAAATGATCTTATCTTTTCTGTCATTGTTTTTGAAGAAGTTATTCATATATCCAAACGTTTTTGAGGATGAGAATTTGTAATCGGATGTATTTTTTGATCGAGAAGGAAATTTTTATATGTGTTAGAGTTCAAATGATTGATTTCGGATGTTTCTGATTGGTAAAAAATTTTTCTTCTTCGACATTTCATATGAATAGAATTTGAATATAAAAATAAATGTTATTCATACCATCAACTTCGTTTTATAACGATTTAACCTTTATTTTCGATATATTTGTATTTATTTTGATTAATCATATGTCAATGATTTGAATTATAAATGAATTTATTACGAGAAAAATTCGAATATCAAATCTTGATAATCGTGTCTTTTATATGTAAATGATTAATCTAACGATGACAATTCCTACTAATATAATCATATTAAACGTTGTTAATTTTGTCGCATCACACGTTGAATCGACATCACCAGCAGCACCAACAATTGGACAATTTCCAAGAAAATTTGTTGAACATGAAACTCGATTACACGTAACATCATTGCAAAGAAGACTTAAATCAAACGATTGACTTGTCGATCCAACGGATGTTGAAGCATCACAACCACTTGATGTACAACATTTACAAACACATCGAGTGGTTGAAATCAATTCAACACAAAATATTAAAAAGATACAAAATGTATAGAAAGATTTCATCGGTTTGCGATCGAAGAAAAAGTAATAAGAAAAATATGTATGTAAATGACAATTGAATAGAAATTATATATCCTCGATGGAAAGAAAGAAAAGAAAAAGAACGATTATGAGTAATATATGTGAAGCAATTAATGGATATAAAGTTTGTTCGATAACGAGATTTGAATCGATTTCTCGTTATATATTGTGTGTGAAAAATGATTTATTATCGAAAAAGAATAAGTTTAAATATTCATCCAAGATGGATTTGAAAGAGACGATTAAACTGGAGAGATTCAATATTGACCTTTTTCAAATTGCTTTGAAGACATTATAGTGAAATTATTTGCAAAGTATTATATATCAATGAAATATATTGACGTAAATCAAATGAATCTTTTTTTATTTGTTACACTTTACTGATTCACCGAGAAAAGCGATATGTATTCGTAACATCAACATTGGTTATCACTAATCTCACCAAAAAATCTTCGACTACTGTCATAATAATAACCATTATTTATAGAATTAATAATTGTCATATTATTGATGGTTTGCTATTCGAGAATAGGAAATATTGTAATACCTAAGAATAATACATCTTATTTTCAGTATTAGTTTACTCAAAATTTTGTTTCAAGTAAACATTTTAAACAATTTCCAATAATCACTGAGTTTCATAACATGTCAGCGGAAGATCAGGAGTGTTATAAGATATGAATTCTATTCCGTTCAAATTCTATATTGTTTCTTCAAAACATCATCATCATACACAATATGTCTCTAATTGTTTTATACTACGCATAGATACCATGGTGGTTAAATCAACTATAAAACAAAGAATTATTATAATTCTTGACTTGTATATCACATCCTCACCCACACTCAAAAAACAATGAAAAATAAGGTCATTAACGATACAAGATGCATCTCTTATTTTTATTTATTTATATTTTACTCAATTTTCTTTTGATACACTCGTATCCAATCAGTCACCATTAACTGTGGCCAAACAGTAGTGTTATCAGGTGGTCCAGGCCATTCTCCACCAATTCCGATGTTAATTATCATATAAAATGGCCATTTTCCACTAAACGCCCAGACGGGATTGATAGATTCAGGCAGATTGGTCGTATTAATTCGCGAATAAATAAATTCATTAACACCAATTGTAATTTGTTCTGATGTCCATTCAGTCCAATACACCAGACTATGATTGTGAAGCATTGAATCATCAGGTGTTTTCCATTGTTGATGAATTTGTTTGTTAAAAACAGGTTTCATCATATTAGATTGATTATTCCAATGAACGGTTCCATGTGCATATTGATCAGTAAGATTTACACTTACATTATTTCCTCCTACCATTTCTAAAATATCATTTTCACCACATGTTGGCCATCCTAATTTATATTTATCTGCATTGCCCAATAACCATCATGCTGGCCAGATTCCTTTACCATAGGGTAATTGAATTTATGCAGCCCATATTCCAAAAGTGAATTCCTGTAGGTTTTTTACTTGCATANCCTACCATTTCTAAAATATCATTTTCACCGCATGTTGGCCATTTTAATTTATATTTATCTGCATTGCCCAATAACCACCATGCTGGCCAAATTCCTTTACCATAGGGTAATTGAATTTTTGCAGCCCATATTCCAAAAGTGAATTCCTGTAGGTTTTTACTTGCATACATACCTGATGTTAATCCTTCTTTTAATGCGACAAGAGTGAATTTACCGTCTTGCACATATGCATTAAAGATTGAATTAGTGAAATTTTGTAAACCTCCATCAATGTGCATGCCAACAATTGGAGCCCAGTTTTTGGGATTCGGTGCATAAGCAGGTTTCCCATTGATAAAAGCTTTCACTGGACCAACATTTTCGAAATCATCTTGAAAAACGAGTTCGTAATCTTGACCAGGATTGAAAGTAAAATTGGATGGATCCCAACCAACGACAAAATAGACATTGTTAAAAATAACAATGAATAGAAAGAAAACAATGAAATGTAACATGAGAATGATTGAAGAGAAATTACTTTTCTACTGTTTTTATATGGATCAAATGGGAGTAAAGAAGAAGAAGAAGCCATTACAAATAATAAAAGAAGCAATTAGAGTCAAGATAGGAGGAGTCGCTGTCTAATTCAACTTATAATATAAGTGCTGAATTGCTGATACACGCAAATATTGACATAGATATGGATATGAATAGATTTAGTTATAATTATACCTTCAGATTCTTACGTGATATCATCTAAATTGTGCTTTCATTCTTTTACATAACCGATAAACAAGAGGAAACATGTATTGATAAGACTTTTTGAACGTAGATCAATGAAAGCATAATAATTATCGAATCTGTGAACAACTGTTCATGAAAAACTATTTGCGGAAGAACAGGTGTGAGTTTCCTTATCTCTAAACGCTTTTGTAAAAGCGCTTTATGTTGATATATGTGTATGATGTCCATGTATCGTGTATAAAGATTCTAAATTAGAATTCCAATTCTACCTAGAAATAAATGCGCAAACTACAGGTTTTATCCGAGAGTTAGGCGTACTGAAAAATGTGTATCAGATAGAAAACCTCACGAATCAGAGAAAAATATCAACTTCTTTCTTTAGTAATCCACAATTCCTTCGTCCAATCGATCTTATTTTTGAGCTCTAGCGAGATTTTTCTGTTATCATACATTGTCATCAATTTCATCTCAATCATACTAGTCTCTCTTGAGTTATCGTATAAACGGATGAAGAACACTGCCTATTTCTAGTAATTCGTTCATACTTTCAGTCTGCTATTGCGGTAAGATGCTTCAAATCTGTTCTCTGCAGCGTGTTGTTGACACTCGAACTGTGTTCGATTGAAGCCCATATTTAATTAAAATAGGAGCTGCTATTGAATGGATTTCTGCATTTCACAGCAACTAGCACGTTGAGGATGATCCATTTAACGCCAGCGACAATAACGATGATTTGGGTGACTTTCACCCAAGCCTATTAATTGACATACACACACACACACACGCACACACATTGTCATGGTCTTCTATCATTTTGATCTTTCGCTAAATCCAGGTCCATCTTGCAAAATTTTATGACGATAACCTTAACAGAGAGTTATGAGTAACAGACTCATCCATCAAATCCCCTCATATGATTGAATACTTTGTGGCGTTCTCTATGATAGATTTTGCTGACAGAACTTTCGCCGAAGCTGTCTTCACCCACTGTTGTAGCGATTGGTCAACACGTTTTCCCGGGCTTAACAATGCTTCACAGAAATTTGTGTGCGTTTTCTTTCACAAAGACACTTGAGTGAGATTTCACCCAGTTCACGTATATCTGGCCTCGCAGTGGCCACTAGACACCCTCATTCACATACGAATTTACGAGATTTTAAGAAAATTCTCTAAAATCTCTCTATTCTTTCTAGATTACAATAGTCGAAACTTTGAAATGGCAGAATCTATTTCTCGTGTTCGAATCAATCGATTTAAACGATTATTTGATATGCTAAGTAAAATCAATCTGTTTGAAAAAGAAGACACGATGTCCGTCAATGATCAATTACTTTCTACAAGATTTTTTATTTTTCTGTTAACCTTGGCTCTGATCATAGTTTTTACTGTTACAACATTCTATGACCGAACCGAATCTGTTACTATCGATTTTCCCTCAGAGGACAAATTTAGAACATTGTCCATCCATTATCTCAGCACACTTACATGTCCGTGTACACAAATATCCACCCAAGAAGATCAAGTTCTTTCATTTAATCCGCAATACCATCCAATCTGCACGAGTTACTTTGTTAACGATTCATTTATCTTATCTTTGTCTAATCTCAATATCAGTCGTTACTTTACCGGCGATTATCGCGTGATGTTAACATCCCATTTTCAAACTCTTGCCTTACTTTGCCGAACAGTCAAAAAGTTGACGTTCGATGCAATAAATGAGTTTGGTTCTGAACAGCTCATCACTACTCATGCTTTATCTTCCAACATTTTCAACGCAACAGTTAAGGAACTTGCCGATCAATTAAAATCAAAGACTATGGCAAATCTGAAACAAACAAGTGATTTTGTTTGGTTGAATATTCTTCAAAATGGCATCTATTCTGGATTGCGTACAAATTATAAAGATCGACTTTCACCTCCGACGAACTTATTGATTAGTTCCGCAAATACTTTAAGTACGTCAACAAAAACATGCTATTGTGAGAGAGGCGTGACCTGTGTGGACCAAGCTGAATTATTCAATTTCACCGGATGGAAAGAAGGCTTTAATCCATTCACTAATAAATCGGTTTTTGTTCTTGATGTATCAACACTTACTTCTATACCCGGTCTGATGATGGGTTGTTTACCATACGATTCATTGCTTCATTCAACACTTGAATGTTTTTCTGATCAACCTTGTATTGATACCCTTCGATACTTCACTCCAGAATTTCCATTCGTTTCAGCAATCTCATCTTCATCTCGTTATTTGATAAATTCAACCGTCAAAATACTACTAGATGAATTGTTCATTGAATCATGGTATGAACAGAGCAATTTCAGTGCTCATTATCGCAGTTGTTCTCCATCTTCATGCACATACTTCTACAATCGACGAATTAATCTCGTTCACGCTATCACCACAATTATTAGTCTCTTCGGTGGTTTCAATACAGTTATAAAGTTCTGTGTACCATTCATCATCAGAATCTTTCGACGATTACAACGATGCAGACAACATCTTGACACAACTATCGAGACAGTAGTCGAAACGAAACCGGTTTTGAATCTTAGTAAGTCTTTACTCGTTAAAATATTCTCATGTTGAAATCTTATGATTCGTTTTATAGGTTTGAAAAATCGTCTTTTGGTTCTTATAAATCAAGTAAAGGCGAAAATAGTAACACTAAACATCTTTCCGCCATCATCTGATATTATCGACGATCTGTATTCCACACGTGTTTACCTCGTATCGATGGCTGTTGGATTAAGTGTTCTTATTTTTTATACTTCAATTTCGATCCAAACTCGAAGTATTACTGTTGATAAACCATCATTAGGTATTTATGAACAATTGTATAGACGATATCCAGCAACACTCATATGCCCATGTACATATCTTTCGATTCCGTATTCATTGATTATACATCTGCAGCCTCATTATCATCAAGTGTGTTCGAGTGATTTTGTTCGAGATGATAAGTGGTTTCTGTATTTTGTAAAATCTCCCGTCTTGCTATTCGCATCTGATTTCCGCAATACTGGCTTGAGACTCTTCACTCTACTCCAAACATTTTGTGTGATGTCGAATGAAACTATATCAAATGAACTAACTGGATTTAATTACACACGTTTGGTCAGTGGTAATGTATTGCCAAGAAATGTATTTGATGAGCAAACATCTACAATTATTCGGCAATTTCAACAACAGGTACATAATTTATTTGACAGCGACACTTGTTGATGAAAGATTCGAACTCTACTAAACTTAGACTTCTTATTCTTGTAGACTGTCAATTCTTTTCTCAACTTATTTACACTTGTTCGCACGTTAATTCAAACCAATCAGTTTATGATATATGGAAACACCAATGCTAACAAATTCTTTTTTAAAATTAATGGCACAAAAGTATGGCGTTTGATACCAACTGATACATATCACCGGAGAGTGATTTTGAAGGAAGCGTTCTCGCACAATAAAATTTTATTGTGCGAGAACGCTTCCTTCAAAATCACTCTCCGGTGATATGCATTCGATAACAACTGTTCCTGTGGTAAAAACGTTTCCTGCACGCGTCCGGAAGGAATTTATTGTACATCAACAGGTTGTAAAGTGCATGATGCTCAACCAAATTATACGATTCCTGGTCTCGTATCGAGTTGTCTCTTTGTTGATTCTCTTCTAGCATCTTCGCTAGAATGTTTTTACAGTAGATCGTGTCTTCAAATGTTAATAGAATTACACTCATTTGAAAATCCTGGTGTGACACTCGATCCAAATGCTGCTAATGTTACTCCTCTTCGTTCACAGATAGACAGTCGTTTTCCACCTCATACTCTCTTAAAGGATATTGCCTCACAGTTATTCATTGAATATTGGACAAATACAACGAATTTCACTTCATATTATAGTCAATGTGCACCAGATCAATGTACTTACACTTACGAGACGCGATTCAATCGAGTTTATATGTTAACAACTGTAGCTGGAATTGTCGGTGGTTTGTCTGTTGCACTGAAAATATTCGTCCCGACTATTGTCAAACTACTTCGACGAGTATATCGATATTGTCGACGACGTGAAACTGATGTCACACAAACAGATATTGTACAAACAAGTAAATCGTTAAAGTTCGTTTGTGTTGATCATTTTTTTTTGCATTCATAGGTATTTGTCAAAAGTTTTCGAGACTAGTTCTGCATGTTCAACTTCATATTGGAATATTGAACTTCTACAAATATGAGACAACAACTGCCGGTTCTTCATCAGAGCATCTGAATAGAACAGAAGAAACAAACGTGATCAAACAACAACGAATAGCCACTCGTCTTTACATTGCGATGTTTGCTTTATGTCTCGTTCTGATAACTATTTTCAATGTCTTTCAATCACAAACTCGTGCAGTAAAAGTTTCATTACCTACTCAATCGACGTTCGAATCTCTAGAAAATCAATATGCCTCGACGCTTTCATGTCCATGTTCACAAATTGCCATTCCCTATTCGACATTTGTTTCGATTCAACCAAATGCATATCATCAAGTGTGTTCGAGCATTTTTGTTTCATCGAATTTCACTGATTTTCTTTGAGGATTGGATTCTCCATATGTGTATTCAATGCAGACCGATGCAAAAATCTTAAGTACACAATTTCGTCTTTTATCAATGCTGTGTTCTCTTGTCATGGATATTATTCAACAAAAAATTACTCTATTTAACTCGCAAAATCTCATTGGTCTCGAAGCATTAACAGCATATTCGTTTCATAAACAAGTAGATGCTCTGATCAAAATATTTGTGAGTGAAACACCTGTAAACTTTCGAAGAACACATCAATATATTATCGATATGTTTCATACGAATCATCTCATTAATATATTTCTCACTAATTGGAATATTCATGAAACGAATGCCAAGAACGCATACTTCATGATCAACAGTCCCATCTTGTATCATGAAGGTAATCAATCATGTTCATGCGCTGTGTCTCCAACATGTTCACGATCTTTATTAATGAATGGTAAAGAAAAAGAGACTTTTTTAGGTAAAGTTTGTTTAGAGTATTCATCATCAATGTGTACATAACATAGACATTTTATTCACTTAACAGGTCTTGTGGTTAGTTGTTTACCTGTCACTGGTCTTCGTCAATCAACTTTGGAATGTTTCTACAATTCTTCATGTTTAAAAAAATTAGCTCATTTTGTCAACAGTTCATTTGAATTAAATCCGTTGAATGCATCCATAAACTCACGTTTTACACCAATCTCATCTGTCCCCATTAGTATATTGATTGATGAATTATTTATTGAAACATGGACAAATTCAAGTAATTATTCTGAATATTATTTATTCTGTGCACCACTCGCATGTCGTTTTACTTATGTGACAAGAACTAATGGTTTATACATATTAACAACTTTCCTTGGCTTATATGGTGGATTAAGTGTTGGATTGAAACTTGTTGTTTGGTATGGGTTAGATGTTTATTTGAAAATATATCAACTGATCTGTCATCGTCGAACACATGTTCAACCTATGAACATTCACTAAAATGTAGCTATTGTGCTAATTTTATGGACTTGAAAAAGTTTTTTCTGCATTGGTAACTATGATTTATTTGAAACTAATAAAACACTTCAGCCAAACTTAGAACAAGTTTTTTTATCTTTCATTTGAATTGTATATATGACGCAATGTAGTTGTAAGTTTTTCTAAATCGAATGCAAACAAAGAATTGATGAATAAATTCTAAAATGCATCACATACTAATTGTTCTCCGATTGTGAAATATATTCTGTTTCAATTAATCGTTTTATTTCTCGTTCAATTGACTGTGAATTTAGTGTAAAACGACATGTCAATGCTTCAATGACCTATGGCAAACAAAGTTACTGTAATTGTAACGAAATCAATTGTTTACTTGAGTGATAAGTTGATTGTGTGTCATAGTAACAGATGATTTCATAATTCGTACAATAGCAGTACGGATTTCGATCTCGTGCTCATGATCGAGTTTGTCTCGAACACTTTTACGTCTTAATTTGTTCTTCAGTTTGATATTTCATGGATGGATTTTAATGAGATTATGTTTCGATGTAAACAAATCGTTAACAAAAACTTAATCATCCGATAAAATTGCTTCATTTTGTGGTTGTTTTACCAAAATATTTCCATTATTTTTATTAATAATTAATGGCATCAATGCCTCTTCGATGTAATCTTTATTTATATCTATTTTATGATGAATTTCCTGCTATGAAAATAAGACTTGAGACTTCCTCTCTTTTCTTTAAACTAACCTCAGTTGTCCATTTATTATTAATTTCAAATCAGTTATACCTATTTGTGGTAGTAACATTAACCGACGACCAGAATGTTTTTTCAAATAAAAATCTTGAAAACATTTATAAACATTGTGTACTATTGATGGTATAGAGTGCATCTATTATTTAAACGAGAAATTGGCCAAACATCTGTTTTCAAAACTTTTAAAATCAAATCAATGCTGTGAAAATCAAGTCTGTTTTCAACGATATGAGTATGAAAATCTTCGTTCAATGATTTTGATAAAAATACAATATCAATCAGCATAGATTCGATCGAATTTGGATACGAAAAGTTACCGAAATTATTCTTTAATAACGATAACGTATAGTTTTCTAAATCTATTGAAGCAGATTGAGCGGATAAAAGACGCTCTGCTAGATGTTATTGATAATATTCTCGAAAAGTATTTTCGTCTTTTAAATAACCAACACGTTGAATGACTTTGTCGATTGTTAGTTCAGCAATCTCAATGTTGTTGGTTTTCATTTGATCATTACGAAATAATGAAGCATATTTTGGAAAAGATTCATTAGAATTTATAAGATAGTTCCAATCAAAATCATTTTGTTTGACAAATTCATTATCAGAACGAAAAGAATTCGTACGAAACTCATCGAATATGCACTTTAAATCAACAAGATCTTTTATGAACGAAGTCATCTTCTTGATCATGAATGATTGTTGAGCTCGTCGGTGTAAATTATGACTCATTGGTTCCATCAACATAGAACGAATATTTGACATTTTGTTCACTATTTTTATAAACCATTGAAAGAATTTCATATTGATTTGAGTGAAACAGCTGATCAAAAATTGATTTTTCCTTCAAACGACGAAAATACTGCTCAAAAACATCTTCATTTTTTAGAAAACATAACAAAAGAATTGCATTTATCAATGTAATCACGTTTTCAATCGAATTATTTTGTTCGTCATTCAAACGTTCATCGATAAATAATACCAGATATTCTTGACTATTCGAATTCAAATTCATGAAATACTCAAAGTCACAATCAATATTTCGGATGATAATTCGATCAAAATTAAAAGCTTTCTTCAAAAATCTATCGAATTTGTCTTTCAAATCGATAAAATTTTCGACAAAAGAATGGAAACTTTTGTTTTGCAGATCGTTCTTACGTATATATTCGCTAATACAACCGATGATAATAGATAAACCCTCTGGTACAAGTTGAAAAGTTTTGTAGATATTCTCCAATTGTTCATATTGATTCGTGTCCAGCGTTTCGTAAATGTGCTTCTTTTTCAGAGATATTTTATTGATTGATTCAAATATAAATTAACATGCTCCATTTCGTCGTTGAATTAGATTTGAACTTTTTCAATTAATAATCGTGTGCTTTCAGATCGATAGAATTCAGTCGAACGCTGCAAATACATTGATTGAGATTCTATACGATCAATGTAATCTTTGTTGAGATTAATTTTTGTTAACAATTCAACAATGTCTTTTATAATTGCTCTTGAGAAGTTATTTCCAGCCATTCATTTATATAACATTCATGTATACACAACGTATAGATTGTTCCAAGCTCTTCTATGGCGACTTAATGTGTCAATCTGTGAAGCTAAAAGGTTTAGAAATGAATCACATACTTTTNACTAAATTCTTACGAAGATCAGATTCAATATATGTCATTCGACGCGCCTTGATTTACTCTACGCAATGGTATATTTAATTTTTTAATTTCGAATAACTCTTCTTATCCGACTCGGTCTTTTAATTGGGCTCAGAACTTGTGGTACACTCTAAGTATATCCAATAACCGTGGTTTTCTCATGAAACGTCTCTTAAAAGTAATCATAGACCATTATATAAAATTGTACATTTTAAACTTTTCTACTGAGTTATCCTCAGTTTATATTCAAAAATGCCATTTCAGGAGCATTTCTGACCGTAACAGACAGGATTCTTTGAATTGTTTGTCCTTAATCAATAATTGAAGACACGTTAAAATATCATCAAAGTGAATTTATAGCGACTCTAAACGATATTAAAATCTTGCAAAAATGAAACGTTCTCAAGATGATACTTCATTTCAGTTGTCAGAATGGATAAATTTTAAATTACATTCAATAATTTCAATAATGGCATATACATATTGAGAGTATAGAATCCCTATTTATGTAATTAATTACTCTTTAATTGTACAACGAACTTCGAAACAAAATTGAAGTTTTATCACGAATTGAAAAAATACATTTTCGAAAGTAAAATCATTATAAGATAGTAGTTTTTTAAAAGAACTATTATTTTACATATGAGGAGAATAACAACACAAAATAAAAGAATAATAACGGAGAAGAAAGAAAAGTAAATATCTGAATAAGAGAATAAATCGATATATGATTTATGAGTACCTGTGACTTTACACCTTCTTTGACAATGATTTCAATTAGAAAATGCAATTTAAAAGAAAGTTTATAGTTTCTGATTTTTACAGAAATTTCTTGTTTACTTTCATGACTTTGGAATACATATCGCTACAATCCTTGTTATTAGTATTTTAGTATTCTAGAGAATGAAAGAAAAAAAGAAACTTTCTTTTTCTTGTTTGTTTTTTCGTTAATTATAACGCTACTTTACTTTTCTAACTTATAAGAATACGTTTTACGACTATAATGATAAAAATTCAAGAAAGAGGATAAAGATCTATCATTTCATTCATTTATGAAAATCGATTAGAGTAAAATGAAAATAAAAATATTTCGCCATATTCTATATTTTAACTCATATTTTTTCGAATATACAAAAAAGTTGATAATTCAGAATTGCATTTAATTCGCAATTATCTTTTCTCAATGTCATATTATCTTCTATTGTTTACACAAACTTGTCATTAGCAATTCTAAGTAAATTATATGAAGTAAAATGATGACAGGTGGCAATGAAATAGAAGTTTCCAGGGATATTTGCATAAAATGTATAGAATTTAAATAAATAAATTCGAATATATGAATTAATGAAACAACCATTTTCATTACTGAAAGATAAAGAAACAATTCGAAAGTAGATCAATAATTAGCAGATCTTTTACTTTATAATTGCACGAATATCAATACTATGTTTCAAAATAATCTTAGTAACATAGAATTGACGAAAAGATGAAAATAAAAAATTTAACAAGACATTGACAACCAAATTATTATCAGCACTTAACATAGTTCTCTTTGTGCATTTGACAGATAAAATACTCATTTTGTAATAAGAGATAATGTTTTGTATTTATCTGTTTAGTTTGAGTATTTCTTTTTTGTTCAAACAATTAACAATACCAAGACATATAACTTCACTCACATTGTTCATTAGTGGAGGAAAAGTAACCTATTTTCATAGTTGGATTGCTTCAGAATATTTAAAAAATGGTAGAACATTTTTCACATAACATATTGTTATTTGATAGAGGATAGCATCAAGAAAAGCATGACTTCTATTGTTTCATTTCATTGATGAAGCGAGTAAAAGACTAGATATTAAGTGAATTAGAGAGAGAGAGAGAGAGAGGGGGGGGGGGAAAGAAATAAATAAAAGAACTTTCATCGCCAATAGATGCTTTTATTTTCATTTTAAAGCACGTACTATTGATTTACTCAATCAATTTAAAGTGTGACCAAAACTATGATTTGGACGAGAATATTTGCATTATTTTCGGCAGTTATTTTTGATCTAGTCTTTACGCAAAATACCAATTCAATTTTGATGAATATTATGGATGGATGGCAATTTCAATGTGCTACAACAACTTGTTTACCATATGCTACGGTTACTGCATACAGTATTTTTCAGTGTCAAAGTAGTTGTTTACGACAAAGTCAATGCATGGCTATTACTTTTCGTCAATCGATTTCTGAATGTCAATTGTTTACTAATTATACAGAACAAAACAGCAGTTTGGAAACAGCTGTAAATACGGTTACCATGAGAGTTATTCCTGGCACACGGATACCCTCCGGTAAACATCGATTCAATATCACATAAAATGCATGAGCTAGAAAATTTTTTCACTAACCTCCATTTTTAATTTGTGAAGATCCCAAACAATCCTATATGTATCCATGGGTAATTTTGTTGCGTCCTCAGAACTGAAAACATAATAATGAAAATGAATGATTCTACTAAGGCTACGCATGAATTGAGATAAGGATGGGGATGAGATTGCGAGCAAAGATAATATATTGATTTGCTCTCTCCTATGGACATCATCTTCCCAAGATTCAAATATTTCTAATATTCTTGACTAGGAGTCAAGCATATCTCAAATAAATTGAATGAATACGTTTGAGACATACTTCGTCATTTGGTTTCTCTCGTTTAATTAATTTATTTTTCACAAAATAGTATCCATCACCACATCAACTTCAACAACAACAACAACATCATCATCATCGACCTCAGCAACAACATCAACGTCATCATCGACCTCAACAACAACATCATCATCGTCATCATCGACCTCAACAACAACAACAACATCATCATCAACGTCATCATCGACCTCAGCAACAACATCAACGTCATCTTTGACTTCAACAACAACAACAACCACGTCATCAACGTCATCATCGACCTCAGCAACAACACTATCTACCGGTATGTAACTGAATAAATTAAGTGTTGTTTGCTACACATCGCAAAGAATATGAAAGCACTTTATACAAAAAGTAGTTATTTAACAGCTAATGAGAAGAAATTAGTTCGCCGTTTTTGCAATGAATTCGATGTTAAAGATCAAGTTTTCAGAAAATCTCCGAAATACATCAGTCAAAAATCTTATCAGACACGCAACTTTTTTTAAGCTGCTTAGAAGAAAAACGTTTAAACTTGTTGATCATTTATCGCCTCGAATTCATCACATTGAACAGACTATTCATAGACATAAAAACTTCCAAAGACAGTTAGTATTCATCAGTTCTTTAATTTGTAGTTATAGATATTCTTCTCACATATTTGCACTACACTGCTCTATACATTCGAAAATGAACTGATCGGATATTAGAAAAATTAATCTAATTTAGTAATATTTTTAATCCTCATCGAAATATCATGTGAGTTTTGAAGGCTAAAGCTAAGTTGAAAATAATACTCATTACAAACGTTCGACGTTAAAAATCGTTCCAGCTTTAAAAAACAAAAACAATTGATTAGACTATTTTATTTCCAATTTTTTTCCATACAAATCTCTATATATATATGTCGTAGGCCAATCCAAGATTGGCCTGATCTAAATTAGGATTGACTCGAAATCTTGGATCAAAACTCATTTTTTTACCTGAAGTCAGTGGCAGATTACACCTCAAATAGTTTTAAGGTTTCATAATATACTATCATTACCTATATCAGCGAGTTTCATATCACTATGAGGTGTGCATGGAAGATGTTATAAACGTTGACCTCTGAATGTACAAGTTCTGCAGAAAACTGCCGATAACTTTTTAACTAAACAATGCTGTGTCGAAATCAATAATATACATCGAAAATATACCCGTTTAACTACAGCTTTCGAATAGTCAAAAGAAAATCAGAAAATACCATAGGGTTCAAAAACGAACTTTGATCCAAGATCCTGAGTTAATCCTACTTTAGACTAGGCCAACCTTGGATTGGTATACGACATGTACATATAGACGTATATAGATAAACTCGAATCAATAGTACTGACAACGGGACATCAGTACAGAACTCTAAAAATATGTAATAATACATTCAAGAAAATGAGTGATTATACTTAAGATAAATAATCATTACAATCACAAATAAGAGATCACTTTTTTCTCTTAAGAAATAAAGATACGTTTTCTAGGTCGTAAAAACCAGCCAGTTGTCGCGCACAGATGGAGAAAGCTTTGTGACGAGAAAAATTAATAAAATATTATCAAAAAATAGAAAGTATAATACGGACAAGTCGTAAAAATGCGCAAGTGCTGACGTTTTTTGTTTGCGATGGATTTGAATTGTATTTCTCGTTTATAATACATCAAGAAAGACAAATTACATGTGAACTACGAGAAGAAATCCTTCTTGAATGTTCCTCACCACGAAACGTCGACTTTATAGCCAGCAAAGCGTTCTCCTTTGAAACGCTAAAAAAACATGAAATTTCGTAACAGATAGTATTTAGAATTGTTTTCTTCTTGTGTAATTATATTTGTCAAAAACTAAGCTTTTATTTAAAAAGTTTATGAAAATCTGAATAATTTGTACGCTAAAGTACTTATTTACATATGACTTCATTCAGACTATGCGGAAACCGAAATTTCATCATGCTTGTAATGATTAGATGTGGCTAATTTGTGGAAATACTTATATTTCCGATCGATAAATAATACAGAAGGATTTTGTTCATTTTTATGTAATATCAAAGAAAAATGTTTGTACTTACATCTGTGTTAAGGTATATCATCGGACAATCATTTATACTCTAGAGATTTCTAAATATCCTTATTAGACCATTTAGGAACGAGTGTTATACTGAGTTGAATTATTTCATACATACTCGAAAAGCAGCATGACTATATGACTATACTTGTTCTAAACATAATGAACCAATATCCGGTCATTCGTCGATCTATTTCTTATCGACTATTTACGGCTAGTTGCTGGTTCATTTAATCAAAGTGTACAGGCAGTAGTCGTCAAAATCGTAATCTACGGTACTATAATCAGCTTTTTATTTACACAAGTTGCAAAAGCTCAGCACAGACCAGTATTTTTCGGCTCCGATTACCCTTTGATCATTGTTTATAAAATATGTTTTCTTTTATTAAAAATGGTCGTTTGTCTTCAAAGATATAACGCAAATTTTTTTGCAGAAAAGCTGATCTCAGATTCGAGTTCCTCGGTTTCGATTACTTCTTAGTTAAACTTTATACCATACCCACAGTCAGTACACAATAATTGAAGAAGGTAACGAAAGAACTTACGAACAGATATCAGCTCAATGCATTCCCTTCGTTTGAGTGAAAGGAAGAAAGAAAGTTCAACTAACGTATATTCTCCGTAGTTATTTAGCTTTGTTTTTAAAAAGAAAATCAATACATAAATTTGATCAGTTATAAGTCTATTATTATTTGTCCTGTATTAATTGTAATGTGATATTAACCGGTAGTTAACTTCGAACAACTAAGAGAGTGATAAGAACAGTCGTTATCTATTTCAAAAATATATCTGTGAATGTATGCGTACGTAATTTTCTTTCAACTCTTTTTCTTCAATAGAAGTTAACTTATTATCTTATTTGGAAGTAAACTTAGAAAGTACAGTCTAAATATTTTTTTTCATCATTCTCCTTTTCCCATACTCTCAACTTGTTGTCTGAATAAAATTTCAGCGTTGTAGTCTTCATATTTCATTTTCCATAGCAATGGAGAAAAATTCACTTGAATCACTGATAATAATGGCCCTTCTCAATGACACCATGGTGTTATACACTCTTTTTCAGCGTTGGTTTCAATATTATAAAGCTTTGTTTTTAGTGTACACTAATTTTTAATAGCTTCATAAGTCACAATCTACTAGATTGTATAACCGCAGAGAATCAAATGAAGACTGAATCGTCAACAATCGAACAAGCACTGCATTCTTCCGTTTAAAAAATGTCGGCGCATGTTTTCTTCTGAGATTATATCACTCACAAATGGATTTCGAGTCTGCCAAGACTTTTAAGCGATCCTACATAGCTCCTCGAAATGTAATGTTTCCCCTCGAATTGATGAACAAGGAGTCGACTAATTTTGAGAAGCTATATCCTTGATTCCCTGGAAATCACGCATCTTTTAAGCTAACTTCATCAACCATCACTGTTATAATGAATTCAGAACTTTAGTCCAAATCCGTTCATTGCACAATCCAGTCCTACATTGTGAAAGACTTTTCTCTATGAATCCCAGGTAAGAAGTTAAACGCACTCCTCATTGCAGAATATATTTGACTCTAACTCCTTTCTTGAAATGAATCAACATCCTTAAAAAAGAACTCCTGTCACTCCACATGATTTCAAAATGAGGGCAACTAGGTCCCACGGCATTTTGTTCTTTATCAACATACGTACCAAATCATGACACTGAAAGCTCGAGATTAGCAAGTACACCTAGAAATTATACCAAAAACCATTACATTTCTAAGTTCTTCCGCAAATTTCACATTAACATCGATTCCCATTATATTTGTGCACTTTTCAACTTTTCACAGCATACACCAGCACCTACTTCGTTGCGCTCACTTTTCCAGTCGGCAATGGCACACAATCAGTTACGATCGTTGACGTTAACAATGACACGAAACCAGATATAATTACGGCAAATTATGGTGAGAAGACCGTTAGTGTTCTTCTCAATGCAGGTAATGGCATATTTTCTAATCAAACTACCTATGCAACTGCCGCTGCCCCAGCTGCAGTTGCCGTCGCTGATATTAATAACGATGGAAAACCTGATATAGTTACGGCGAATCCTGTTGGAAGCACAGCTACTGTTCTTCTCAATGTAGGTAATGGCATATTTTCTTCACAAGCTGCCTATGCAACTGGCTCGTATCCATACTCAGTTGCTGTCGTTGATGTTAACAACGATGCAAAACCTGATATAATTACCGCAAATTATAATGGAAACACAGCTAGTGTTCTTCTCAATACAGGTACCGGTACATTTTCTCCTCAAACTTCGTACGCAACTGGTCAGTATCCATCCTCAGTTGCTGTTGCTGACGTCAACAACGACGCAAAACCTGATATAGTTACAGCAAATAGTGGTCCCAGTACAGTTAGTGTTCTTCTCAATACAGGTACCGGTACATTTTCTCCTCAAACTTCTTATGCAACTGACACTAACCCCGTATCAGTTGCGATCGCCNATACAGGTACCGGTACATTTTCTCCTCAAACTTCGTACGCAACTGGTCAGTATCCATCCTCAGTTGCTGTTGCTGACGTCAACAACGACGCAAAACCTGATATAGTTACAGCAAATAGTGGTCCCAGTACAGTTAGTGTTCTTCTCAATACAGGTACCGGTACATTTTCTCCTCAAACTTCTTATGCAACTGACACTAACCCCGTATCAGTTGCGATCGCCGATATTAACAATGATGCAAAACCTGATATAATTACCGCAAATTATTATGGAAGCACAGTTAGTGTTCTTCTCAATACAGGTACCGGTGCATTTTCTCCTCAAAATATTTATGCAAGTGGTACAGCTCCATACTCGATTGCCGTCGTCGATGTCAACAATGACACGAAACCTGATATAATTACGGCAAATCGTGATGAAAATACGGTTTGGGTTCTTCTCAATACAGGCAATGGTACATTTCCTTCTCAAAATATTTATTTAACTGGCTCATATCCATACTCAGTTGCTGTCCTTGATGTTAACAACGATGCAGAACCCGATATAATTACAGCAAATAATATTGACAATACAGTTAGTGTTCTTCTCAATATAGATACTGGCAAGTTTTCTTCTCAAAATATTTATGTAATTGGCTCATATCCATACTCAGTTGCTGTCGTTGATGTTAACAACGATGGCAAACCTGACATAATTGGAACGAATACTCGTGACAATACAGTTAGTGTTCTTCTTAATACAGGTGCCGGTACATTTTCTAATCAAACTTCCTATACAACTGGCTGGTATCCATACTCAGTCGCTGTTGCTGATGTTAACAACGACACGAAACCAGATATAATTACGGCAAATTATGGTGAACAGACCCTTAGTGTTCTTCTCAATGCAGGTAATGGCATATTTCCTAATCAAACTTCCTATACAACTGGCTGGTCTTCATACTCAATCGCTGTTGCTGATGTCAACAACGATGCAAAACCTGATATAATTACCGCAAATTATAATGCAAACACAGTTAGTGTTCTTCTCAATACAGGTACCGGTACATTTTCTAATCAAACATCCTATGCAACTGGCGTTCGTCCATACTCAGTTGTTGTCGTTGATGTTAACAATGATGCGGAACCTGATATAATCACGACAAATAGTGGTGCCGGTACAGTTAGTGTTCTTGTCAATGCAGGTAATGGCACATTTTCTAATCAAACTATTTATGTAACTGAAAACAATCCATATGGACTTGCGGTTGTTGATGTCAATAATGATGCAAAACCAGATATTGTTACGGGTAATAGTGGTGCAAATACAGTTAATATTCTTCTCAATACGGGTACCGGCACATTTTCTTCTGCTATCTCCTATGCAAGTGGTTTATCTCCATACTCAGTTGCTGTCGTTGATGTCAACAATGATGCAAAACCAGATATCGTTGTCGGTAATACTGGTACAAAAACAGTTAGTATTCTTCTCAATACGGGTAACGGCACATTTTCTTCTCAAACTACCTATGCAACTGGTTACAAACCAAGGTCAGTTGCGATCGCCGATGTTAACAATGACGGGAAACCTGATATAATAACGGCAAATTCTGGTGCTAACACTGTTGGAGTTTTGTTTCATTGCTAAGATGCGACAACTAATCATGCGTTGCTTCGTGAGAGAAACTTTATTCTCGTTTAATACACTTATATCGTACCTTCTTTATACTATCGTGCCCATTCTTCTGTTTCTCTTTTGAATTATTAACCGTATATTAAAATTTTGATCTGAATAAAATGTTGAAAGTAACAATGATATCAGTGGGTTTTTAAAGAAATAATGATGATAGGTAGTGGATCACTTGTTGTGAAGAGAAAGTGCAGATGTCGTGGGGAAATGTGAGAGATGGTTGATGCTATTAATAGGAATTTCGTATACAGTCGTTTTATCGATGTGAAGCTAGCTCAAAATGACGATCTATCACAAAAAAAAGAAAATTTCTATTGGTCAAAAATCAACCAACGATAAAATTCATTTCATGAAAAATCCATCAAAGAGTACAAGATTTTGGACATAGCGGCCATAGTAACAAAAAGCTAGCACAAAATTTTGATGACGAAAGACATAGTCTATATCTGACGGAGAAATAAAACGATATTGATCAGTTGATGAACTATATTCATTTTCCATCATATTTTCGCAAAATATAGATGCAATGATGAAAGAGAACAACATATTTGTGTCAAGTTTTCATTTACAATCAATATAATATAAAGACCTAAATAACGATATGCAGAAGGTTTAATAAGAAGAGAAATCTGAAAAGTATTGCCAAGAATTGATAATTCTCGTCACTCGTTATATACTGTCTGTTCATGTATACATTTTTGCTAGTCTATATGACGTGATGTTGATCGATTCGTCCGCCGTATAGGTAACTAACAGAGAGCGCTCGGTCATGTGCTAAATTCAAGTTCATTTCCTATTTGACGTAAACACTTAGAAAAGAAAGCACATCATAGAACTATGTGCCTAATTCAATCACATATTAAGTTAAAAGAACAACCCATGTCGAAAAATCCGCTCCGGAACCGACCGGTGCCGGTTTTTTCCGAACATTTTATGGAAGCAAGATTCCAGATCGGATTCAACCGGTTAAAATCCGTTCGGTTCCAGCACTACCCAAACGGAAAAGTCAGGAATCCCATCAACAACTTCCGAAAAATCCCAACGAACCGTGACCTTTCGCAACCTACCAAAACCGAACCAATCCGACAAAATCCTACAATACGCCTATCGAAAACCCATAAAACGCATCTTCCCATACTACCGAAACCCCACAACACAATGCTGTCCATACCCATTCTCCTAAGACCAACCAGAGCAACTTCAAACAGCCTTCACCGCATTTCAAACAATCCCAGCCCCAATAGCTAAAACACAAACGCTCCTGTTCATTGGACTACACTCCGATCCCACGCTTACAAGTGGGTTACACCGAGGATTACAGGATTACATACTGCACTGCAATCGGATTTGCAATCCATTCAAATGACTTATACTCGGTTGCCAAAAATGTTTTTCCAGGGGGTACAGCCCTAACAACTAGTGATAGACACAATGAATTTTATACTAAAAGAAAGCCCGTCAAAAACGGGATCTAGGGGTATATTTTACTGTTCTGTAAAAGATGGGCAAGCTACAGAACTGTAGAGCTTCAGAAAATTTGAAGAATTTACTATTACTGAGACGTTTTTTCCAAGATAAATTCTGAGTGAAAACTGTTAAAGAATCACAAATACAACGAACTAATGTTTATTTTTTTATAAACCTGGTACAATAATCAAAGAAAATAATCAATAATCTGTATGCCGACCGTTAGCTTTTCTCATAGCTTGTAATCGAGATGGATACGAGCATAACAGATTTTGAAAAAGCTCGGTATTTGCTTCCATATTTTCTATGACATTGCATATGTGGTTTTTCAATGTTTCTTGACGATGACGATCATCTCTGGCCTCAGATAACATTCTTGTCTCGACTTCGTCCTTCAGTATTGATCCGATGCGCTCAGCTGCATTGAGATCAGGTGAATTTCCTGGCCACATATTATTACCCCAAAAATTGATATTGTTGTCCTGGATCAACTGCTGAGTCATATTTGCTTTCATGCATGGGGCTTTATCGTGAACAAACGTCACTTCATCCACATCAATGACATGTTTTCTTCATTTTTGAGAAAAGGAAAGACGTGCTGAACCAAAATTGTATCACGAAAGTATTCACCTGTCCAGGATTCTCCTTATTATCTTTGACTACCNACAACGATGCACACCCCGATATAATTACAGCAAATAATATTGACAATACAGTTAGTGTTCTTCTCAATATAGATACTGGCAAGTTTTCTTCTCAAAATATTTATGTAATTGGCTCAAATCCATACTCAGTTACTGTCGTTGATGTGAACAACGATGACAAACCTGACATAATTGCAACGAATAGTCGTGACAATACAGTTAGTGTTCTTCTTAATACAGGCACCGGTAAATTTTCTAATCAAATTTCCTATACAACTGGCTGGAATCCATACTCAGTCGCTGTTGCTGATGTTAACAACGACACGAAACCAGATATAATTACGGCAAATTATGGTGAGCAGACCCTTAGTGTTCTTCTCAATGCAGGTAATGGCATATTTTCTAATCAAACTTCCTATACAACTGGCTGGTCTTCATACTCAATCGCTGTTGCTGATGTCAACAACGATGCAAAACCTGATATAATTACCGCAAATTATGATGCAAACACAGTTAGTGTTCTTCTCAATACAGGTACCGGTACATTTTCTAATCAAACATCCTATGCAACTGGCGTTCGTCCATACGCAGTTGCTGTCGTTGATATCAACAACGATGCAAAACCTGATATAATCACGACAAACAGTGGTGGCGGTACAGTTAGTGTTCTTGTCAATGCAGGTAATGGCACATTTTCTAATCAAACTAGCTATGTAACTGAAAGCAATGCATACGGACTTGCGGTTGTTGATGTCAATAATGATGCAAAACCTGATATAATCACGGCAAATAGTGGTGAAAATGCAGTTAGAGTTCTTCTCAATACGGGTACCGGTACATTTTCTTCTGCTATCTTCTATGCAAGTGGTTTATCTCCATACGCAGTTGCTGTCGTTGATGTCAACAATGATGCAAAACCAGATATCGTTACCGGTAATACTGGTACAAAAACAGTTAGTATTCTTCTCAATACGGGCAACGGCACATTTTCTTCTCAAACTACGTATGCAACTGGTTACAGGCCAAGGTCAGTTGCGATCGCCGATGTTAACAATGACGGGAAACCTGATATAATAACGGCAAATTCAGGTGCTAACACTGTTGGAGTTTTGTTTCATTGCTAAGATGCGACAACTAATCATGCGTTGCGTCGTGAGAGAAACTTTATTCTCGTTTAATACACTTATATCGTACCTTATTTATATTGTCGTGCCCATTCTTCTGTTTCTCTTTTGAATTATTAACCGTATATTAAAATTTTGATCTGAATAAAATGTTGAAAGTAACAATGATATCAGTAGGTTTTTAAAGAAATAATGTTGATGGGTAGTGTATCACTTGTTGATAGGACTCTCTACTTCAGTTTTGTTTTGGGTTTGGATTAGGTGAAGAGAAAGTGCAGATGTCGTGGGGAAATGTGAGAGATGGTTGATGCTATTAATAGGAATTTCGTATACAGTCATTTTATCGATGTGAAGCTAGCTCAAAATCTATTGATCTATCACAAAAAAAAAATAAAATTTCTATTGGTCACAAATCAACCAACGATAAGATTCATTTCATGAAAAATCCATCAAAGAGTACAAGATTTTGGACATGGCGGCCATAGTAACGAAAAGCTAGCACAAAATTTTGAGGACGAAAGACATAGTCTATATCTGACGGAGAAATAAAACGATATTGATCAGTTGATGAACTATATTCATTCTCCAACATATTTTCGCAAAATATAGATGCAATGATGAAACAGAACAACATATTTGTGTCAAGTTTTCATTTACAATCAATATAATATAAAGACCTATATAACGATATGCAGAAAGTTTAATATGAAGAGAAATCTGAAAAGTATTGCCAAGAATTGATAATTCTCAACACTCGTTATATACTGTCTGTTCATGTATACATTTTTGCTAGTCTATATGACGTGATGTTGATCGATTCGTCCGCCGTATAGGTAACTAACAGGGAGCACTCGATCATGTGCTAAATTCAAGTTCATTTCCTATTTGACGTAAACACTTTGTTACATAGTATCATCAGCGACATCTCTCGCTGATATATGTTCTTCTTTTTGTCTTGTTCTCTCTATATCTTCTGTTCTCTCTTACATATGTTCAGTATCATCCAGGCATCTAGGCACATATGTTTCTCTGTGACCTGGATCCTGGACATTTCCTTTCAATGTGCGCAGGGGAAAAGTCCCGATGACGTCTCCTTTGTTGAGGAGTTGTATAAAAGCTCAGATGTTTTAAATAAAAGGAGGGGAGAAACCTGCTTCATCCAACCCAACGTGTTTCTTAACTAGTACGGTCATCCTAAACTCTAATCTTTCTATAAAATATAAGATATATCAAAATTATTCTCCTTTCCGTTCATACTAAATATAGGACATATCTAAAGCACTTTAACTATTTTTCAACGTTTCAGCCTATTACACCGTGTTACCTCGATAGATGATATCATATCGATATCACACGAAGGTATCATGTCTTTGTTCTACGACCTCAACCCACGCTTTATTTTCTGACATATAAGAGGACGCATGTGTTTTCCAAACACAGATACATAGCCGAGCACGTCAGAAACAACGTCTCTCACTGTAAAACACTGAATGTCCTTATGAACACTTAACCGACAGGCATATCATTTAATAATATTCATTGATCAATCGCTTTTCTTTTACTTTCCAAAAAAATGCAATTAAAAATTTCTACTATATAATGTATTCCTTCGATTCATCACATCGTAACACATCTTACAACTTTAAGCTGTTTTTTCCGATTCTTACTATAGAGTACAAAGCATTACGTTTTCGAAACCGACGCAATGCAAATATCCTGGTTATTTCTCAAAAAACAAACTAATTTTAACTTTAAGCTCCAAGAAAACTTTGAAACTCAATTTTCACAAAGCTTTTCAAATAAAGTTTTATTGCAACATTTATTTTCATCCTTTTTGTCCAACAGGAAAAATCGACCAATGAAAGAAGCTGTAGAGTATGACTATCAGGTGAGAACAATGGTTGATTGTTTCAGAACCGACCAAACAAAGGCATGTACAGATTTTTACTCGAATTATGTAAAATAATTCAGACAAGAATATTCTATCATTAATGATAGTTCTTATGAATTTATCACGATAAATTTTGTGGCATAATATCGTATTTTTCATAGCTCTATTTCCATTGGCCCACAAGAATGAACCAATAAGTGATAGAGAAGGGGTTGTATGTGTGTGATCTACTGCTAATTAGCATTGTTCTTGGTGACAGTATCTCAAAAATTAATAAATCAGATGCATCTTACATCATTCGATGCAGAATGACGAGATCTATCCATCCCAGGAGTTTCACACTCATCCCAAGTACTGCAGCGAATATCAGCAGGATATACTGGTAAAATCTACTATTTTACCACTATTTACTGGTAAAACTGGTGTAGTGGGTCGGTGACCCCACTTGTCTTACACCATTCGATGCAGAATGGCGAGATCTATATATCCCAGAGGTTTCAGAGATATCCCAAGTAGTGGGACGAATATCAGCAGGATATACTGGTAAAATCTACTCTTTTACCACTATTTACTGGTAAAACTGGTGTAGTCGGTCGGTGACCCCACTTGTCTTACACCATTCGATGCAGAATGACGAGATCTATATATCCCA